GATCAGTCTGTCCATTTCTACAAAGAAACCAGCTAAGATTTCAATAGGGGTTGCATTGAATCTATAGATCAATTTGGGGAGTACTGCCATCTAAACAATATTGTCTTTTGATCCTTGAACATGAGATGTCTTTCTATTTATTTAGATCTTCTTTAATTTCTTTCAGTGTACTAGTCATGTACTTTTGCAGTTTTGTGGTTTTCAGTGTCACTAGTCACATACTTCTTTCATTAACTTTATTCCTAGGTATTTTATTCTCTTTCTTATTCTTTTTGCTGGATTGTTTCCTTAATTTTACTTTCAGCTGGTTCATTATTATTTTACAGAAATATGATTGATGATGTGTATTGATCTCAAATCCTGCTACATTGCTAAACTTATTTATTAATTCAAATAGTTTTTTAGTGGTCTCCTGAGGAGTTTTTATATTTGAGACCATGTCATCTGAAAATAGAAATAGTTTTACTTCTTTCTTTCCAATCTGGATGCCTTTTACTTCTTTTTCTTGACTAATTGCTGCAGCTAGAATTTCTAGTACAATGTTGAATAGAAGTGTCTAGATATAGTTATATCATCTGCTAATGGAGGTAATTTTACCTCTTACTTTCCACTTATGCTCCAGTTGCTTCCTCTTTATGCTTGCATTATAGCTCCTCTAACTTATTTTATTTAGGTATGATAGTATAAATACTCTTTTCCAAAGTGGTTGTAGCATTTTGCATTCCCAGCAGCAATGTATGAGAGTTCCAGTTTTTCCACATCATTATTAAAACTTGGTATTGTCAATCTTTTTTTTTTTTTTCAAAGATTGGCACTTGAGCTAATGTGTTGCCAATCTCTTTTTTTTCTTTTCTTCTTCTTCTCCCCAAAGCCCCCCAATACATAGTTATATATTGTAGTTGTGGTCCTGGTTGTGCTGTGTGGGACTCTACCTCAGCATGGTCTGATAAGTGGTGCCATGTCCCCTCTTGGGGATCCGAATGGGTAAAACCCTGGGCCGCCAAAGCAGAGCACGCGAACTTAACCACTTGGCCATGGGCCTGGCCCCTGTCAATCTTTTTTAATTTGAGCGCTTTTAGTGTGTGTGTAGTGCTATCTCATTTTGATGTTAATTTGTATTTCCCTAATGACAAAGGATGTTAAACATCTTTTGATGTGCTTTACTTTCTTCTTTTCTTTCTTTTTTCCTGATGTGCTTAATTGCCATTTGTGTATATTGTTTGGTCTTTATGTGTTCCAGGATACAGGCCCTTTGTCTGATATATGTCTTTCTGGTTTACCTTTTCATTTTCTTGATGGTATCTTTTGAAGAGCAAAAATTTAAGCTTTTGTGAATTCTAATTTATCAATGATCTCTTTTATAGTTCTTGGTTCTTGTGTCTATTGTAACTCAGTATTACAAACATTTTCTTATGATTTCTTTTAGAAGTTTGATAGTCTTAGCTCTTACGTTTATGTCTATGATCCATTATGAGTTAGTTTTTTAGTGTGATGTGAGGTAAGGATTGATGTTCATTTTTTTTCATACCAGTATCCAGTTGATCTAACACCATTTGTCAGAAAAACTTCTTTTCTCATTGAATTGCCTTGATATTTTTGATAATAATCAATTGACCATACATTTGTGGGCCTATTTCTATACTCTCCATTCTGTTCCATTGATCTTTTTGCTAAAAATGAACAGTCTTGATACCATAGTTTTATAGTAAGTCTTGAAATGGGTTGGATATGTCCTTCAACTTTGTTGTTTGTTTTAAAAAATTGTTTTGGCTATTCTAAGTCCTTTGCATTTCAAAATAAATTTTACTATTAGCCTGTCAGTTTCTCCAGAAAGTCTGCTGGAACTTTAATTGGGATTGTGTTGAATCTATAGATCAATCTGGAGAGAATTGACATCTTAAGAAATTGCTATTTGTCAGTTATACCTCAATAAAGCTGAGGGAAAAAGAATTGTCTTCCAATTTCTGAACATGTTTACTATACCTCTTCTTTTATTTAGGTCTTCTTCAGTTTCTTTCGATAATGTTTTGTAGTTTTCAGTATAGATTTCCCTATGGGAAGATATCATTTCACTTTAGCTTGAAGTATTTCCTTTAGCATTTCTTCTAGAGTATGTTTGTTGGCAATAAATTCTTAGTTTCTTTATATAAAATGTCCTTATATTTGCTAATTATAGAATTCTGGATCAGCTGTTGTTTTATTTCAGCACTTTAAAGATAGGTTCTTCTGCTATGTCTGGCCTAAGTGATTTCTGAAGGGAAATCTATTGTTATTTGAAACATTTTTTCTGTGTGTAACGTGTAGTTTTTGTCTCAATGTTTTCAAGATTTTTTTCCTTATTCTTTACTTTTCAGCACGTTGGTTATGATGTGTGTCTGTTTGTTTTTCTTTTAGTTTAACCCATTTGTGGTTCACTGAGTGTCTTGAAAACATAAATTTATTATGTCTTCTACCAAATTTGTGAAAATGTTGACCATTATTTCTTCAAATATCTTTTCTGCCCCTATCTTTTTCTCCTCTCCTTCTGGGTCTGCAATTACACATATGTTAAATCTTTTTATATTGTCCCACAGTTCCCTGAGACACTGTTCATTTTCTTTTAATATTTTTCTATTTTCATATTAGATAATTGCTGTTGAACTGTTTTCAAGTTCACTCATTGTTTCCTCTGTCATCTCTATTCTTTGGAGCCTGGCTAATGATAAATTTTCTATTTGGTTCTTTTATAGTTTTTATTTCTCTGTTGAGAATTCCTATCTTTTCATTCATTTCAAGTATGTTTTCCTTTACCTCATAAAGCATAGATATAATAGCTGTGTTAAACGTTTAAGACTCTTTGTGATAGTTTCAGCATTTCTCTTGTGATTGGCCACATTTTCCTGGTTAGTTCCATTTGGAGTAATTTTAAATTGTATACTAGACATTGTGATTTTTGTGTTATGTAGAAACTTGCATGGGTGTTTTGAATCTCAGTGCACTTTTCCAAGCCTTTGCCACATTGGTTTGGATCTGTCCTGTGTATGCACCCCTCAAGGGTTAGTCATTGTGAGATGTGTGTGTGGTTCAAGTTTCAGTTAAATTCTCCAAATCTTTGCTTTGCTGGCTTGAGGGTCTGTTCTGTGCATGCATAGTTCAGGGCTTAGACAGATGCTTATACAAGTCTATACACAGAATTCAGGATTCCTCTCTCTGGTTCTCTCCAGGAGTCTTCCTGCTCTCTCTCTTTATTTATCTTTCGTTTTCAGCAGCTTGATGTTGTTATAACTTATGGTGGTTTTCTTAAGGTTTTTTTTCTGCTTGAGATTTATTGAGCTTCTAGGTTTTCTGGGGTTTTAGTTTTCATCAAATAGAGAAATTTTGGTCATTTTTTCAAATTTTTTTGTATCCCTCTCCCGTCTCCTCTTCTGGGACTTTACTTACACATAGGTTGGAAAACTTAATATGCTCTCTGTGTTTCTGTTTCAGTCTTCTTTTTCTCTGTGTTTAATTTTGTAGTTTTATTGCTATGTCTTTATGTCCACTGATCTTTTCTTCTACAATGTTAAATATGCTGTTAATCTCATGCAGTATATTTTTCATTTCAGATGTTGAAATTTTTTGTCCCTGTAAGTCCCGTTTGGGTCTTTTTTTATATCTTCCATTTTTCTCCTCATCTTATTCATGTTTTTTCTCTATCTTCCTGAACATATGGAATGTATTTAATTCTATTGTCTCTGTCATTGCTGGATCAGTTTCTATTGATTGATTTTTCTCCTGGTTATAGTTCATATTTTCCTTCCTGCTTATTTGCACGCCTGGTAAATTTTGATTGGATGCTGGACATTTGGAATTTTATGTTTTAGTTGTTAGATTTTATTGTGTTTTTAAAAATATTATTCTTTTTCTGTGACACACTTAAGTTACTTGGAATCCATTTGATCCCTTCAAGCCTTTCTTTATAGGCTTTGATCGATCAGGTTTAGAGCAGCCTTTAATCTGGGGCTGATTTGGCCCCATTGCTAAGGCAATATTGGATGCTCTGTGAATTCGGAAGTCTTCCCACTACGGCTCATTGGAGCACAAAATATTCCCAGCCCTATTCCTTTCCTGTGGTTCTTTCCCTGGCCTTGAGGTAATTTCCTCACATGCATACACAGATCACCAGATCTCTCTTTCTGTTTAGCTTCTTTTCCCACAGTGTTTCTCTCAAATTCTAGCCATTTTGGCCTCCCCAAACAGAACTCCTTGCAACTCAGTGAGATTGCTGGGCTCTGTGTGGGTTTCCTTCCCCTGTGCTCCAGCCTGGAACTCTCCAGGCAGAAAGCTGTGACAATCACAGGCCTTACCTTGTTTGTTTTCCTTTTCTCAGGGTTTTCTATGCTATGCTTCCTGTTGTCTAATGATTGAAAAATATTGTTTAATGTATTTTATTTGATTTTTCTAGTTTTTTAAGCAGGAAGTGAAATCTGGTCCTTTTAATTCTTTATGGCAAGGAGCAGAAATTCTCATTCCAACTTTGAAATTTATTGAAACTAAAGTTGGATTAAATTAGCACAACTTTTTGACATTTTTTCCCAATTGCTCAGCTATCCACTCAGACTTGTGTTTTAATAAAAGAGATACAGGAATCTGGTTAGGATGGCTATTGTTTACTGTTTTTTTCCTCCTTTATTTTCATGTTGTTTCTCTTGGAGTCATAAAGGACATGCATATACAGCATGCAATTTACCACCAATGAAAATGTGTGCCGTGTCAAACTTTGCATGGCTGAACTGCTTGCAGTGAGGCAGCAGGACTAAACTTAAGAATGGTCTTCATATGAATAAATGTATTTCTGTATATGAACATGTAGCAAAAATGATATCCTTGTATATGATAAAGCTTGAAATTGTTTTTGAAGTATTAGTATATAGTTGTATAGGTCACAAAACATGGTCACCACTGCAGTTAGTCACTTTGAAGGAATAACTGTCCTTGATTTGTTACTTGATTTAATCTTAAAAGGATAATTTCCCCATTAGCAGTGTACCGCAAGAAGACCCAAATGAAGTGATGTCTAAAGATGAGGTCATCCTCAAGCTGAAAGCAGAAGTGGAGCGTTTGCTGGGCAGCAACTCAGTGAAGCGTCATCTGGTGTCTCAGTTACAAAATGATCTCAAAGACTGTCGAAAGAAAATCGAAGATCTCCAACAGGTGGAAAAGGATGAAAAAAGCATCGAGGTTGAGGTTTGTAGAGTTAAAATGGCATTTTTAGAAGACTTCATAAAGTAAACACTCTTTCAATTTTCGTATTTAAATTAAACCTTAGTCTTTCAGAGGTTCATTTGACTTTTTTAGAAATAAAGGTTAACGAAGGAAATGCCACTTAAGGGAATATATTTTCTGGTTGCTCTTGACACCTAATAAATGAGATACCGATTAGGTAAAATTCCTTTACCACAAATCTAAGGAGGCATTCTATGTAACAAGGTATCTGCATTTCCTCAAGATTGGCTTGTACCAACAGTGCTCCAAAATCTAGTTAAATGCTCCACAGGGAAATACTTTAGCATTTTGTCTATGACATTTATCTGGTCCATGTTCCTATAACAAGAATCATTCTATATAAAGAAATTATGATTATACTGTGGTGGTGTGACAGGTGGGAAAGGCACAGAATCAGATGATGTCAGAATCATTGAAATCCACCTTCATATCCTTCAATTAGCTCCTTACTTTATAGATGAGGCAAATGGAGCTGGAGGAGTTTGTGACACTTCTGAGGTTACAGTCGGTCTTCAGGCAAATTGAAACTAGAACACTTGACCAATAAATAGGCAAGGTTATTTCCCCAGGATTATGCTATCACAGAGATCTTTAGGGTTGCCCTCCTTTAATAGCTGCCTTTTTCACCCTTCCATATTTCCCAAATCCCAACCCATCTGCACTGCCAATAGAAAATAATGTATAAAAGACCTAATAACTAAAAGGAAAAGGAAGGGGGAAAATGAGTGTAACTGGTGTATTCTTTTTCCTCCTGGATGGAAATATTTTACTTCCTACTTTAGTACTGTTTTATCCTTTAATCTAGGAATTGTGTTCATTAAAACAATCCTATTTAAAGCAAAGTATGCAAGATGTTCTATAGCTCTTGTTATTATGGAATTTTAATTGTGTCTAATTTATTTTCCAGAAATAAATAGTGTGTTTTTACTGTTAAAGTCCTGCCCAGTCTGGTTCCCTCTTCTGAGTAACTATGTTTGATGAATACAGCATTGATTTCAATGTTAACAACCAAATGAGAACGAACCCCTTTCCCCCAGCATATCTAACATCTTTAAATCAAGCTGTTTCAACTGTTTCCATGTGTTTCTTAAAAAGGATGGGAATGAAAGCTGTGTCCCAATTTGTGTTAGATTAGAGTCGGTTAGTTTAAGCATTTTGATGAGAATATGCTAAGATTTAGGAGAGTAGGAGCGTGATTTTGAGTCTGAACCTTAGCTCAGGTATGTTGGTGCTTTCTTTGTTTTATATTGAAATTACTTATGGCACAGATACACTTCCACATGAGTGGTTTATATTTATAATTATAGAGAGTCAGTTTTTTGGCTTTCACGTCATATGACTCTTCAGAGCAGTGCTGCTCTATGACATCTCCAGGATCATGTGTGATGGAATTAAGAGTCTGCCCATACGTGGCACTGTGCAGCGACTGGGAGCAGGTCAAATACTGTGCCGTTCATTCCGGTTGAACAACTGGGCCATTAAGGTAGAATGTGGTAAAGACCTTAAGAAAACCAGACTGGCTTACTAGCAGTCAGGGCCCACATCTACACTGAATTTTTTGTTAGTGTAATAAATAAAACACAGAGACCTTTCTGTGTCTGATACCCAGTAGAGATGATTACCTTACCCACCAGTTGTGGTTAAAGCTGTATACTGATTCCAAGGTACTTGACTAGACAATGTTCAGTAGCCAGCTCAGAAGGTTCCTAGCTAGAATCTTTTTAGACATGAAAATTAGGAAGATCCTATGAGAGTTGGTGTATTATATTTCTAGTTTTCTTGAAAATATTGTCTTCAGTATTTCACTTTTAGAAAGAAATTTTTGTGATGTTTCCAGGGATCTTTCTCTTTTTAAAGGTCTTTGTGAGGGTTTTGTGCTGACAGGTACAAGTACCTGACCCTGTGTGTCTGCAATGTGATAGTATATCACACTGAGTGCAATAGCTAGCCATGAATATTGTTTTTCAGTATATCAGTATGATGTCACTTTCATTCCTGGTAATAAAAACTCACCAGTGGGGAAGGAAGCACAAATGAATATAATAAATTTTAAAAAGTGGAGGCTAAGTTGAAAAAAATGAAGGCCATCCTAATGAGTCAGTAAAATCCTTTAAGTCTCATTGGTAACCCCAAATCTGGAGAGAAGCTAACAGAATATGTATTCTTAGCTCTTCTCTCTTGTGGCTGGGGTCGGAGCAGTGGCTTCTGGGAAAGGATGAGAAGTGAAAAGAGCAAAGTCAACACTAGAGCAGTCTCCCTCTGGAGGAAGTGAAGACTGTGAATGGAAGACTGAGCCCAAGCTGTGGTGTTCTGTCATCCCACATGGCAGTGAGATACATATTCCTCCCCTTGCCCCAGTGAGCAGAATGAACCTTGCCACAGGATATTTTTTAATCATTGTAGAAGAGAGCTCAGAGTTCAGGTAAATACGTAAACCAACAAGTCAAATAGCTATTTAAAAAACATCTTTGTGACCTCCTCAATGAATAAAGAACTCATAAAAATAGATAAGAAAAAAACAGATGGTAAAAGGAAAATGTGCAAAGTCATGTAAACAGACAAATCTGGGAATATGTAAAACAAATGAACAATGAAGCTAGGTAAGAGATTCCCTTCTGATGGCCAAACAAGAAATGCAAACAAAAGCAATTGTTAGATGCCCTTTTCCCCATCAAATACAATCATTATTTAAAGACAGTCACTGCCAGTGGAGGTAAAGAGAGTTGGACATGGGCCAGCCCTGTGTCATAGTGGTTGAGTTCGGTGCATTCCACTTCAGTGGCCCAGGTTCTCGGGTTCAGATGCTGGGCACAGACCTGTACCACTCATCAGCCACACTGTGGTGGTGACCCACATATAAAGTGGGGGAAGATTGGCACAGATGTTAGCTCAGGGCCAATCTTCCTCAAGCAAAAAAAGAGGAAGGTTGGCAACAGATGTTAGCTCAGGGCTAGTTTTCCTCAGGAAAATAAAAAAAGAGTTGGACAGACTCATGACAGTATACATTTGTACAACTTTTCTGGAAACAATTTGCCAAAATCCGTTGAGTCTTCAAAATTGTACCTGTTGAGGGGCCTGCCCAGTGGCACAGCAATTAAGTTCGCACATTCTGCTTTGGTGGCCTGGGGTTTACCGGTTTGGATCCTGGGTGTGGACCTATGCACAGCGTATCAAGCCATGCTATGGCAGGCATCCCACATATAAAATAGAGGAAGATGGACATGGATGTTAGCTCAGGACCAGTCTTCCTCAGCAAAAAGAGGAGGATTGGTGGCAGATGTTAGCTCAGGGCTAATCTTCCAAAAAAAAAAAATTTTACCTGTTGAATAAAATATCTATGAGTCAGCACTGATTACATAAATAAATAAATAGATGCTAAATTTAGAGGGTGAAAGTATGATGAAAAATAAGATATTTGCATAGTCTCAAAGTATCTCCTCATAAGATATTTATTACTAATTACAAGTGGAAAAATAGTAACTTTTACAATGGAGGGGTCTGCAGACACCTCCTTCATCAATTGATCATCACCAGTAAGGGGCATATTGATATTACGTGTCTCCTCAAAAGTACACACATCACTTCTGTGGCATTCATGCCCAAAGTGGATAACCTGAATTTAATAGTAAGGTAATGTCAGAAAAACCCAAATTGAGGAGCCGGCCTGGTAGCGCAGCAGTTAAGTGTGGACATTCCGCTTGGGCGGCCCAGGGTTTGCTGGTTCGAATCCCAGGTGTGGACGTGGTACCACTTGTCAAGCCATGCTGTGGCAGGTGTCCCACATCTAAAGTAGAGGAAGTTGGGCACGGATGTTAGCTCAGGGCCAGTCTTCCTCAGCAAAAACAGGAGGATTGGCAGCAGATGTTAGCTCAAAAAAAAAAAAAAAACGAAATTGAGGGACATCCTATAAAATAACTGGTTAGTACTCTTCAAAAATATCATGGGTTTGAAAGACAAAGACTGAAGGACTGTCCTAGATTCAGGGAGACTAACGAGACCTGATGACTGAATGTGATGCGAATTGTAGATGGGATCTTGAAGCAGAAACAGGACAGTAGAGGAAAACTGGAAAATTTTGTATAAGGTCAGTAGATTAGTTACTACTATTGTATCCTAGTTAATTTCCTGGTTTTGATCGTTGTGCTGTGGTTATATTTGGGGACGATGGTAAAATGTATGTGGAAATTATTTGTATAATTTCTTTGTAAGTATGAAATTATTTCGAACCAAGTACTTAGAATATTTTAAAAACCTGAAAAACTGTTGACTTCTTTTTAATGTTTAGACTAAAACAGATACCTCAGAAAAACCAACTAATCAATTATGGCCTGATTCTTCTACTTCTGATATGATTGTCAAAGATGATATTCTGCGACTCAAAAATGAAATTCAAGTTTTACAACAACAAAATCAGGTGATTAAATAATTTTCCTATGTTTTCTGAGAATTTTCATGGCTTCATTAAATTCAAAGGATATAATAGTCTTTTCAAAAATACAGAGGCAATGTGAGTTAGTAGACAAGTATATTAGTAGGTGATTAAGGATTCCACTCATTTCCTTTTACTGTTGGTCATGGGGTAGTAGTTTCAACAGAAGGTAGGTTAGTGAAAATCCAGTTTCCTGTCTATACAGTGGCATGGCTAATAGAGGTGGTCTTTCCCCCTCAGCCAGCCCTTGACCAAAAAGTAAACCTTTGCTTATTGACATGGTTGCTGAAGATCATTGGATTCTAAGACTTATTTTAAGGCATCAGCCAATACTTCCCTGGTTAAATGTTTTCATTTCATAGATTTCAAATTAAATACAAAATTTTAACTTTTATTCTTATCAGAAAGCTACTTGTCAAATAAATGAATCAATACTCTTGTCACGGCATGAAGAGACTTTCATAGAATTGTGAGAACTATCTTGTTATGTCAAATAATGTTACAGAGTAGAGATAAAGCACAGAGGATGTTAAAAAATGAAATTAGACTAGTCAATGAAAATGATGTTTGTTTCCTCTAACCTTATGTTATTATTTTGTATCTAGGAACTTAAAGAAAATGAAGAAAAACTGAGAAATGCAAATCAAGACTTGTGTAATCAAATGAGACAAATGGTACAAGATTTTGACCGTGATAAACAAGAAGCTGTGGACAGGTAAAGTCTATCCAGAGGCCTAATGCAGGCCTCCTGGGCACCCTTCCCTTTCTTTCTCTGCCCTCCCCCAACCCTCCCAAAAAAAGATTAAAGAGAAATGGCGGAGTAAACGCTCCCTGTTGAGATCTTGGATTAGAGAAGAAGAGTCCCTGGCTTCTCAAATTAGAATTTGGAACACATTTCCCATAGAAATGATGTTATGTAGTGGGTTGGGTTCCATAGCACCATCGAAACTGTAGTTCACTGAAATAGTATAGCTTAATGGTTTTTAAAGCCTAGTCTGGGAAACTATTCTTTATAAGGAAGAAATCTGTGGGAGGGAATATGTCTTCCAAATACCAAATCATAAACTTGGAAACAGACTTTTGGAGCATAACTTACTTGTGAGTTGGGTGTTGCTAGTATTTGTGTTTCATATAGATGACTCGGACTTTTGGAACCACATCCTCGATTATTTCAATTCATTTTTTATACACGAGTCCTCACCACAGACTAGTATCTCTGTTTGAAGGATTGAGGCATCCTCACATCCAAGTTTCTAACTTTTTCAAGAAACATTTGAAGGAAGAAAATTTTGAAGATTCTTATAAGATCATCTATTGAAAATTAATTATTGCTGCTCTTGCTTGGGGAAAACCAACCCGACCTGAATTATAATTTGCATTAGAGGGAGAAGTAGTGGGAAAGAAGGAAGAGAAACCAATTCATCTTGGCGTTTCTAGTCGTGCTGGGCACTGCCTAAGACCTGCTGTCCGCTGTTTGTTTCCAGGTGTGAGAGGACTTACGAGCAGCACCACGAAGCCATGAAAGCCCAAATACGCGAAAGCCTGTTAGCAAAGCACGCTTTGGAGAAGCAGCAGCTCTTTGAGATCTACGAGGGGACTCGCTTGCAACTGAGGTGAGAATAAAAGAGTTTAGCTGCCTTTTAAACTGTAGAGACACGTCATTCTTCTCTTCCATAGTGTAGAGAAAAATTGTTCTGCAGCCTTGTATTTTTTGGTGGTCATTTAGTTGCCGGTTTTGTGTATCCAAGGTCTGAATTAGATCAGATGAACAAGGAGATGGCTGCTGTGCAGGAGTGTTACCTGGAAGTGTGCAGAGAGAAAGATAATCTAGAATCGACTCTCAGGAAGACCATTGAAAAGGAGCAACAGACTCAGGAGAATAAGGTACAGTTCAAGCTCATGTTGTGTTCACTTCAGTTCATTTCTCTGGCCTCACTATTGTCATTGAAACCAGGGCACTTGTTCTCCTCTGCAATAGAGAAGGCATCCGTTGAAGTCTCTTTACTTTGGGCTGTATCCACTAATATAGCTCACAAAATACAGTAAATGTTGAAATGATTATTAAACCTTAGTAGAAAGTGGCATACATTTAGGAGAAAATCATTCATCCTTGTAGATTTATTCCAAGGGCAAAAAATAGTTCTGAAAACAAGGAAGAGTGGACCCGAGTCGCTTTGAGACTGCAACCCAGGGATCCTCGTTTTGCATTTGTTTGTTGGCTGCTCAGGCCACCCAACATTGTGCTGTGAGCCCTGTGCAAATAGTCCTGCAGAGACATTTTCCCTTGATCTGTTTCTCTCTCAGTACCCAGGAGTCATTTCATTCTTCTGGGGAGAAGAGCGGGAGTCTGAACCTGGGTCTCCCAGTAGGGAAGGTGGTGACACGGAGCTGTGGAGAGGACGGTCACAGTGTTGATGTGACCTCTCTCAGGGAAGCTCTCATTTTTCCCAGAGGCTGCAGGGGCTGCAGTGTACTCGCTCCTCCTGTCTGAAACTTCTAAGTTGCCATTGGTGAGTGTCCAGGAGTAAAATCACGTGTAAACAGCTGCCCCTCCTTCTTTCTTCCCCGTCCTGGCCTGAGCCTCACACAGACCCACGTCTGCCTCTCCCGTCCACTGTGGACCAGGCTGCAGACCAGGCTTTGAAAGCCACCTGCGTCAAGAGCAGAAAACATTTTTAAAGGCCTTCAGTAAATGTTCTATACGGAGGTTTCTGAATAAGTTATGTTGAAGCAAGCTATTGCTACCACAGACGTAAAAAGAATAGTAAAGAATGGGTGCGGAGGGGCCAGCTCAGCGGTAAAGTGCACACATTCTTTTTCGGTGGCCGGGGTTCACTGGTTCAGATCCCAGGTGCAGACATGGCACCGCTTGGCAAGCCATGCTGTGCTAGGCGTCCCACATATAAAATAGAGGAAGATGGGCATGGATGTTAGCTCAGGGCCAGTCTTCCTCAGCAAAAAGAGAAGGATTGGCAGATGTTAGCTCAGGGCTAGTCTTCCTCAAAAAAAAAAAAGTGGGTACGAAATTTGGTTCACTTAATATTTTGATTATTTTTGATTAGATGAATATGGTAAAAAAAAAACATGCCATGTATACATATCATCTACTAGAAAGAGAGCTTCTAAAGGGAGCTGTTTTAGTTAGTACTGGCTGTATAAAAGTTAGAAGAGATCTTAAATTACCTGGAAATTAAGGACTTAGGTTTTAGTAATGTTTTAAAAAATTAAAATAGGGAGAAGATCTCCAGCATGATTCTTTTCTTTCTTTCATTTTAACTATATAAATTGGGAAGAACATAAGAGCAATTCTCTCAAAGAATTCATTCTTTTTGGGAATGTATTTTCTGGTGCTTTTAAAAGAATGAATTTGGCTGTAAAATTGGATCTCATATAATTGGTTAGTTGCAATTAATAGCTGCTACTGACTGATATTTTGGCTCATGAATGCTTGTGCACTGGGGCAAGAAGGAAAGTTAACACTGCTATTTGGCCCTTCCAAAAGAAACTTACAGGTTAACTGTTTTTCTTTAAAATTTTAAAATTGCCATATAGTAAAATTGACTCTTTTTCGTTTGGTGTACAGTTCTATAAATTTTTAACACATGTATAGATTGATCAGGATACAGAATAGTTTCATCATCTAAAAAACTGCCTTGCACTAGCCCTTTGTAGTTACATCCTCTCCCACCAAGGGCCGGTGTACTTAAACCATTAGAAGTTTAATTCCTAGCTTCTCTGAGGATTCTTTACTTATTTAGATTTGTATAAGCCCTTTTTAAGGCTTAGTAGTCTTTATAAGCTAATCAGAACAGAGCTACTTTAAATATAAGAGACTTTAATCTTTTCATGTCCTCCAGAGGTGGGCAAAGATATACCAGTCTGTCTTCCTAGGAAATGTTTCACACTCACACAATGGAAGAATCTTTCTAAACTCAAGCAAGCTAGGGAACTTTTAGGATAGTCCTTCTCTGCAGGACATAAGCCATTTTCCCTGCAGTTGACCTTTGGTCAGGAACTTAGTCTGCATACAGAATTTCTAAGACTCAACACTACCGGTCCCAGGGTAGATTTTCCTGTTTCAGACGTGCTCTTTTCTGAAACACACATTGAGTCAGGCTGTGGGTTAAGTAGAAGCTCAATTCCAAGTTTTAATGTTTTTAACCAGTAGAACTTTCCTCACATGTTAACCTGGCTTGTTCAGAGAAAGGGAAAAAAAAGTCATGCACACAGAACCTTTCAGACTGGGTGGTAATTAGTGGAGGCCATGAATCTGCAGACAAAGCAAAGATGATCAATATTCCCATTTTTAATGCCATTCCTATCCACAGTAAGGCTCATTTATGGGGTTGTAATACAGCCATCCCCCTTATCCACAGGCAGTACATTACAAGAGCCGCGGCGGATGCCTGGAACCACAAATAGTACTGAACTCTATATATGCTATGTTTTTTCCTGTACATACATTCCTATGATAAAGTTTAATTTATAAATTAGGCACAGTAGAGATTAACAATAACTAATAATAAAATAAAACAATTATCACAATGTTCTGTATTGAGAGTTATGTGAATGTGGTCTCTGTCTCTCTCAAAATATTGTACTGTGCTCACCCTTCTTCTGGTGATGATGTGAGATGATACACAATGCCTGTGTGATGAAGTGAAGTGAGGGGAATTGACGCAGGCGTCATGACATAGCATTAGGCTACTATTAACCTTCTGACAATACTTCAGAAGAAGGATTATCTACTTCCAGACCACGGTTGACCACAGGTAACTAAAACCACAGAAAGCGAAACTGTGATTAAGGAGGGACTACTGTACATGCTAAGTCAGTCCTTAGAAGTTAGAGGTTTTTTGCTGTCCAGGGCATGTAAAACAAGTTGAAATGTTTTAGAACTATCCAAATATTTTCTTCTCTTTAAAGATAAAACTTTTTGGATTAGATATTCCTACAGTGTGTTCAAATAGCAGAGCCCCATGACCAAAAAGTCTATTACTTTTCCTCTGTAAGGAGAGGGAAGCAAGGTTTTCCTTGTGGTGGATTGCAAAAATGGCCACACATTCTTTTCATCTCTGAATGTATGCCCCCTTACAATGTGGCTTTGTAACTGTTCTCAGTAAGAGGTAGTCTGTTTTTCATCCCTTGAATCTGATCTTAGCCACATGACTTACTTTGGCCAATGGGACATTAGTAAACATGCAAAAAGAGCTGTTTTTGGGGGCCAGCCCTGTGGCCTACTGGTTAAGTTCGGCGCTCTCTGCTTCGGCAGCCCAGGTTTGGTTCTCGGGTGCAGACCTGTACCACTCGGTGGTAGCCATGCTGTGGTGGTGACCCACATACAGAATAGAGGAAGACTGGCACAGATGTTAGCTCCAGGTGAATCTTCCTCAAGCAAGAAGAGGGAGATTAGCAACAGATGTTAGCTCAGGGTGAAGCTTCCTCAGCAAAAAAAGAAAAAAGAGGTGTTTATGCATTGGGGCTTGCAAGCTTGATACTCTTAGGAACCCTGCAACCACCACCATGTGAATGATCTGGGATAACCTGCTGGATGATGACACATGTGACCAAGTCATTGCCATCATCCTAGCAGACATCGAGCTAACTACCAGACAAATGAATGAGGGCATCTTAGACTACGTAGCCCCAATAGCCTGCAGAGATCAGCCCAGCAGACTTAGACCAAAGCCACCACCCAACTGACCCACAGAATCATGAGAAGTAATAGATGTTTGTTGTTTTAAATCTCTTAAGTTTTGGCTATTTATTATGTAGCAGAGCTAACTGATATACTTACAAACATACAAACACACAGAAAATTGATCACATTTTTCTGCTGTGGGTCAAAATGAAATGCAGATACATGTGGAAACAACTCCTGAAGGGTAGACATACACAGATAAGACAATTTGAGGATTCCTACTACAGTCCATCAAAAATAATAACAGTGATATACAACGTGACACTGGACAACTTTCTCAACTCTATGGCTGAGATTGTCCTGTAGTCTTAGTGCAACTGCAGTCTCCATGACCTGATTGTGAAAAAAGGGGTCCCTCAGACACCAGAAACTTTTCAAAATCATGTGGCACTGAGCAAACATAGATATCTTCTTCTTGGCATTTGCCAGTGATGGAGAGGAATCAGATAGCAATTAAAACAGAAATAATCCATGTCAGCTATGAACCAGAAAAACCCAGATAGCCAGACAGTCATGAATCAGAAATAATGTCAGAGAGACGCAGAGCGAAAGCTCTCTTGCTGCCTGGCAGTAGGTTTGGGATGTCTACTTCCCTGGCCTTGTAGTCTGTGGGCTGCCGTGTGTGGCTTCTCGTGGCTTCTTGGTGGGACCTCCAGAAAACCATTTCAAAAAATTTTCAAACAGAAACTCTTCATAGATAATTTTGATCCCTGAGTAGAGTTTTATTAGAGTTTTCAAATCAACTGAGTTCCTAGAATAAATAGACTGTTGTATGAATAAGTCAAATTATTAAATTTTAACTGACACTTTACAGTTCTTATTTGATAATGCTTTAGCTAATTTTGATGAAAAATTTGTCTTTGATAATGAAAAAATGCAAATATGGATTTATCACAGGAGGCTTAGCTTTTAGGATAGAACAACAATTTTTGGCTTATTTCAGAATACGTCTTTCAGAAATGTAAATGTTTTCTGGGCTCTAATACCTAATTTGTCCCGTGATGGATGGGGTGTAAACATAAATGTCGGTTTCACTGTTTAAGAAGAGTATTTGGTCTTTTGGAAATGTACTTTTTGTATTAGATGCTTTTTACTTTTAATATAGTCATTTGTAAATTTTTTACTCAAATATTTGAGATGTAAGTAGGTCTTTACAAGACATTTATTCTCCTGATTGAGTTAGCATATAGGGAGACCATTTGTTTCTGTTGCTGCTGTCTTTTATGTGCATATAACCATTATTTTATAAATTTGACTTGGAGGATATTAGTGTTGTACAGGGATATTTTTTCTTGAATTTTGTTTAAAGAGAGAGTTATTGGAGGAAAGAGAAGTATATGTAAGCAAACTGCAGGTGGAATTGGAAGAAAAGTACCAACACACACTTATGATGGAAAAAACAAGTGGCTGAAAGAACAAGAAACTAATATTAAACAGCAGGTTGAAAATGAAGTGATGTTAGCCAAAGGACATTGGGATAAGGAACAGAAAGAAGTTTGGGTTAACATTTCTTTCTAGTCAACCTTGTTTAAAAAATGTAGTATTAACTGTTGAAAGACAATTCTTCCAGAACAGACATATAATTTTTAATTCCCAAGTACATACATAGTCACTCATTTTACTTCTCCAGAATTGGGCCATTAGCAGCTTACTCACACCAGTTTTATTTTTTAAAACTTCCCACCTCTTGACTCTTCAAACCAATTCAGGATATAATGCGTTTTGGGGGTCACTTTTTTGATTCCTCATAATGAATCATGATCTAATTTCATACTGTGGAATGATTCTAATAACTCTAGACCCATCTGTATACAAATAAATAACCTATATTGTGGGTTAGAAGAAAGAAGTCACGACTGGGCAGGAACATTACCTCTATTACCTGAGTCGTAAATGTGATTAGAAAATGCTAATAATTTCCTAGAAAATTAAGAACCAAATTATAATCTTAAAAGTTTAGTTGGAAGTGAAATAAATTCTCAAGCTTATTTAAACTAGATTGTCCTATCCACAAGATTGCTATTAATTGTGATGGGGGCCACCAGAAGATGGAACAGTAGACAGCTGCCCTGTCTTTTGACCTCCCTACTCCTCATCTCCCATGCTCTCCTCCAAATAGCATTTCATTAATCTAGCACTGGCACCTGAAATTCTTTTACTAGTCATTTTTTATTAACAAAAGATATATATATATAAATAATCTGGATGACACAAAACAAATCCTCTATTTTCACATTGTTGCAAATTGTCTTTTAGCTGGATTTGCTAGTCACTTGTTTACCAGGGGGATGAGGTGGACAGCTAATTTTTTGTGAGAATGTCAGGACAGCATCAACTGCTGCACTGGATGGCTATTTCAAGTGAAGAAATACAGCCAGGGGCTCTGGTGTTCAGGGAAGTGGTTTGAGAATCCTGGATACCCAGGAGGTGGGAAATAGGAAAACGCAAAAGCAAATTTTGCTGTTTCACAGTTTTGCCTAAGACTGATTGTATTTGGATCCATCCCACTAGGCTGTTGGAAGTAGAAAAGAATTCTTCCAATAACGCCCCGCTCTTGAGTGCACAGTTGACTCAGTAGAATTTAATATCATGACAAACAAAATTCTAATGTGTTTAAGTAAGTAAAACTGTTTTTTACATTGTTCAATTTTAAGTTTTATTGGTCAGACTTACCCAATACCTGCTTTGTGGAAAGCCTGGTATTGATGGAAAAATACATATTAATAGCAGAAGTTTTTGTCTTTTTTTTTTTTTAAAGTCATTCCATCTTTATAGTGGCGATGTCAAAGCTTCCAGAAAGTTCCATACTGAAAGCAAGGCAGCCTGACCTTACACAATGTACTTAAATCTTCCATGTGATTTATGTCACACAGATAAGGTCAAAGAGTAACTTTCAGGATTTACTTGAGAATATATTTTCATTGACTAAATTTCTAAACCTCATGCAATTACTACAACAATGTCTAGATGGTTTTCAAGCACAGCTGTGGTTGCTTTTTTGGCTAGCTATTAATTCCAGTTTTTGCTTATTTGAATATTTTTCTTTTCGTATGATTTTTCTTCTGAAAACAGATCAAACAAGAACTCATTCAACAGCTTGAAAAGGAGTGGCAGGCTAAGCTGGATCAAACTATAAAGGCAATGGAAAAGAAGACCTTGGATTGTTGCAGCCAAACTGACCAAGTAACCACCATTGATGTTATTTCCAAAAAAGAGATGGAAATCATGATAGAAGAGCAGAAGCGAAAGATCCAGCAAGATTTAGAGCAAGAGAAGGAAATAGCTATCAAGGGGGGCTTGAAGAAACTCGAGGTTGAGTTGGAACGCAAATATTGTGAAAATATTGCCAAACAGGTAATAAGCAGGTTTATTATAGTAAAATTATTGGAACTGCCTCTTAATGACCACCTGTAAAATGTCACCTTTGAACTTTTTCATAACTTTGTAATTTAAAAATTTGGTACATTCCAGGGGAGAGAACCTCTTATGCTGTTCCTAAAATTTTCTTCGTTATATTTCTGTTTGAAAGCTGTCACCCCTCAGTTTTTCTGTCTATCCTTTCATTTTACAAAGAGTTTGCTCCTCTGAGGTCAGTCTAAGCTGACCTCAGATGCCTGAGGTTAAAGATGGTGGTTTTATATCTGAATGAAGCACAATTTAATTATGAGTCTCTCATATCTAACTTTATAGAAAATATTCTACTGAAGTGATTATAGAAGCAAACTCAAAGCGGATAAGATATTTAACAGTATTTGTGTTGAGACTTGCAGAGCTGAATCTGCAGGCATACCCCTTAAATGGGACTTTGTCTATAAATGCCATCTGCTGCCAAAAAGTGGTGCCATTGCCTCCCCTTGGAAGCACTTAAAGGGCTAGCTCACTTTTAACTGGGATGTGTTACTTGGTTTCCAAGAAATGTCAAACTGAGAAAAAGTATAGCTCTGTGTTAACAGAGTCAAGATGAGTTCTTATTTGTTTTAGCTATATTATCTATTACAGTGATTCTCGAATTTTTTGGTCTCAGGATGTCTTTACACTTTTAAAAATTGAAGACCCTAAGGAGTTTCTGCTTGTGTGGGTTATATTTACTGTGTTAGAAAATCTAAGAAAAATATTTTTGTTTTATAATATTTTAATAAGTACAGTGATTTCTTCACGTGGATCTATATCAGATTCTATACCAGCATCTTTTGAAAGGAACTTTTTTTGGCTTAAAACAACAGAAATTTATTCTCTCACAGTTCTGGAGGGCAGGAGTCTGAAATCAAGGTATCAACAGGACCATACTCTCTCCAGAGGCCTTAGGGGAGAATTCATGCCTTACTTCTTTCCAGCTTCTGGTGGCTGCAGGCGTTCTTTGGCTCGTGGCTGCACTCCCTCCAGTCTCCGCCTGCATCTCCCTATCGCCTTCTCCTCCGTGTGTCTGTGTCTTCCCCTCTTCTGTCTGTCTCAAATCTCCCGCTGTCTGTCTTTTTCTTTTAAATTGATATATAGTTGACATATAACATGTTGGTTTCAGGTGTACAACATAATGATTTGATATTTGTGTACACTGCAAAATGATCACAATCAGTCTAGTTTCCACCTTTTACCATACAAAGTTACAAAATATGCAATACGATATTGTTGACTGTAGTCACCATGATGTACATTATATCCCCATGACTTATTTATTTTATGACTGCAAGTTTGTATCTCTTGACCCTGTTCACCAATTTTACCTACCCCGCTACCTCCCTCTCCTCTGGCAACCACCAGTCTGTTCTCTGTCTATGAGTTTTAGTTTGTTTGTTCATTTGTTTTGTTCTTTAGATTCCATATATAAGTGAAATCATATTGTGTTTGTCTTTCTCTGACTTATTTCACTTAGCATAATGCCCTCAACGTCTATCCGTTTTGTTGCAAATGGCAAGTTTTCATTCTTTTTTTATGGATGAGTAGTATTCCATTGTATATATATATATATATATATACACCGCATCTTATTTGTGCATTCATCTATCAGTGGACATTTAGATTGTTTTCATGCCTTGGCTATTGTGAATAATGCTGCAGTGAATATAAGTGTGCATATATCTTTTGATTTAGTGTTTTCGTTTTCTTCAGATAAACTCCCAGAAGTGACAGTGCTCGATCATATGGTAGTTCTAATTTTAGTTTTTTGAGGAACTTCCATAGTGTTTTTCCATAGTGGCTGCACCAATTTACATTTTCACCAACAGTGCACAAGAAGATGTTTTTTCCACATCCTCTCCAAAATTCATTATTTCTTGTCTTTTTGATAATAGCCATTCTAGCAGGTATGCATGTGTCGCTGTGGTTTTGATTTGCATTTCCCTTATGATGATTAGTGATGTTGAGCATCTTCTCATGTGTGCCTATTGGCCATCTGTATATCTTTTTTAGAAAAATGTCTATTCAGATCTTCTGCCCATCTTTTAATTGGATCATTTGGTTTTTATGCTATTGAATTGTATGAGTTCTTTATGTATTTTGGATATTACCCCTTATCAGATATAAGATTTGCACATATCTTTTCCCTACAGACAGGTTGTCTTTTCGTTTTGTTGATGGTTTCCTTTGCTGTGCAGGAGCTTTTTCGTTTGATGTAGTCCCACTTGTTTATTTTTGCTTTTGTTGACCTTGCCTTTGGAGTCAGCTCCAAAAAATCACCAAGGCTGATGTCAAGTAGCTTACAACCTATGTTTTCTTCTAGCTTCCAGTCTTATATTCAAGTCTTTAATCCATTTTGTGTTAATTTTTGTGCATGGTGTAAGATAGTAGACTAATTTCATTCTTTATATGTGGCTGTCCAGTTTTCCCATCACCATTTATTGAAGAGATTGTCCTTTTCCCATTGTATATTATTGATTGCAGTGTCATAAATTAATTGACCATATACGTATAGGTTTATTTCTGGGTTTCTATTCTGTTCCATTGATCTATATGTCTGTTTTTATGCCAACACCATACTCTTTTGGTTACTATAGCTTTATAATATTGTTTGAAATCAGGGTGCGTGATGCCTCCAGCCTTCTTCTTCTTTCTCAAGATTGCTTTGCCTATTTGTTGTGATTCTATACAAATTTTAGGATTGTTTGTTCTATTTCTGTGAAAAATGCCATTGGAATTTTGATAGGGATTGCATTAATCTGTAGATTGCTTTGGGTAATGTGGGCATTTTAACAATATTAATTATTCTAATCCATGAGCATGAAATATCTTTTCGTTTATTTTTGTCTTCTTCAATTTCTCTCTTCAATGTCTTATAATTTTCTGTGTACAGTTCTTTCACCTCCTTGGTTAAATTTATTCCTAGGTATTTTATTCTGTTTGATGCAATTGTAAATGGGATTGTTTTCTTAATTTATCTTCCTGATAGTTCATTGTTAGTGTATAAAAATGCAACAGATTTTTGTTTGTTTATTTTGTATCCTGCATATTTACTCAATTCATTTATTAGGTTTAACATTTTTTTGGTGGAGTCTTTAGGGTTTTCTATATATAAAATCATGTGTCTGCAAATAGTAACAATTTTACCTTTTCCTTTCCAATTCGGATACCTTTTATTTCTTTTTCTTGCATAATTGCTCTGGTTAGAACTTTCAATACTATGTTGAATAAAAGTGGTGAGAGTGAGCATCCTTGTCTTGTTCTGATCTTAGAGGAAAAGCTTTCAGCTTTTCACCATTAAGTATGATGTTAGCTATGAGCTTGTCATATATGGCTTTTATTATGTTAGGTACATTCCCTCTATACCCACTTTGCTAAGAGTTTTTGTCATAAAAGGATGTTGAGTTTTGTCAAATGGTTTTTCTGCATCTATCGAGATGATCATAATGGTTTTTATCTTTCATTTTGTTAATGTGATGTATCACCTTGATGGATTTGTGGATGTTGAACTATCCTTACATCCCTGGAATAAATCCCACTTGACCATGGTGTATGATTGTAATGTATTGTTGAGTTTGGTTTGCTAATATTTGGTTGAGGATTTTTGCATTTATGTTCATCAAGGATGTTGACCTGTAATTTCTTTTTGTGGTATCCTTTTCTGGTTTTGGTATCAGAGTAATGCTGGCCTCATAAGATGAGTTTGTAAGTGTTCTCCCCTCTTCAATTTTTTGGAATAGTTTGAGAAGGAAAGGTCTTAAATCTTCTTTAAATGTCTGGTAGAATTCACCAGTAGAGCTGTCTGGTCCTGGACTTTTGTTTGTTAGGAGGTTTTTCATTACTGATTCAGTCTCCTTGCTGGTAATTGGTCTATTCAGATTTTCTCTTTCTTCATGATCAATCTTGGAAGATTGCATGTTTCTGGGAATTTATCTATTTCTTTTGGTTGTCCAATTTCTTGGCATATAATTGTTCATAGTAGTCTTTTATGATCCTTTGTATTTCTTTGGTGTCAGTTGTAACTTCTCTTTCATTTTTGATTTTATTTATTTGAGTCCTCTCTCTTTTTTTCTTTGTCTAGCTACAGGTTTGCCAATTTTGTTTTTTTCAAAGAATTAACTCTTAGTTTCATCTTTTCTATTGTCTTTTTAGTCTCTATTTCATTTATTTCTGCTCTAATCTTTATTCTTTCTGTCCTGCTAACTTTGGGCTTCATTTATTCCTCTTTTTCTGATTGCTTTGGGTATAAAGTTAGATTGTTTATTTGAGATTTTTCTTATTTCTTGAAGTAGGCCTGAATCAGTATGAACTTCCCTTTTAGAACTGGTTTTGCAGCATCCTATTGATTTTATTTTGTTGTGTTTTCATTTTCATTTGTCTCAAGGTAGTTTTTGATTTCTCCTTTGTTTTTTTCATTGACCCATTGGTTGTTCAGGAGCATGTTATTTAATCTTCACATATTCATGATTTTTTTCAGTTTTTTTTCTTTCTTGTGATTGATTTCCAGTTTCATACCATTGTGGTCTGAAAAGATGCTTTATGTGATTTCAGTCTTCCTAAATTTATTGGAACTTGTTTTGTGGCCTAACATATGAGCTGTCCTGGAGAGTATTCCATGTGCCCTTGAGAAGAATGTATACTCTGTTGCTTTTGGATGGAAGGTTCTGTATATCTCTTTTAAGTACATCTGGTCTAATGTGTTGTTTCAGGCTGATGTTTCCGTATTAATTCTCTGTCTGGATGATTCATTCATTGATGTAAGTTGGGTGGCACAGTCCTCTACTATTATTATATTGCTGTCAATTTTTACCTTTAGGTCTGTTAACATTTGCTTTATGTAGTTAGGTACTCCTATGTTGGGTGGATATTTACAAATGCTATATATCTCCTTGTTGGATTGACCTCTTTATCATTATGTAATGCCCATCTTTGTCTTTTATTACAGTCTTTGTTTTAAAGTCTATTTTGTCTGATATAAGTATAGCTACCCTGGCTTTCTTTTGGTTTCCATTTGCACTAAACATCTTTTTCCATCCCTTCATTTTCAATCTCGGTGTGTCCTTACATATGAAGAGAGTGTCTTGTAGGTAGCATATAGGTGGGTCTTGTTTTTTTGTCCATTCAGCCACTCTCTGTCTTTTGGATTGGAGAGTTTAGTCTATTTACATTTAAAGTAATTATAGATAGATATGTACTTATTGCCATTTTGTTCATTGTTTTCTGGCTGTTTTGTAGTTCCGCTCTGTTCCTTTGTTTTTCTCTTGCTCTCTTCCTTGGTGGTTTTACGACTTTGTTTAGTGTTATGTTTAGATTCCATTCTCATCATCTTTTGTATATCTACTCTAGGTTTTTGCTTTGTGGTTACCATGAAGCTCATATATATCAGCCTATGTATACACCACTCTATTTTAGGTTGATAGTAAGTTAAGTTTGAATGCATTCTAAAACTCTACATTTTTACTACTCCTATCCTATGTTTCATGCTTTTCATGTCACATTTTACATCCTTTTATTTCATGTATCCTTTAGCTAATTATTGTAGTTATAGTTATTTTTACTACTCTTGTCTTTTAACTGTTATGCTAGCTCTATAAGTGATTAGTCCACTACCTTTCTTATATATTTACCTTTCCCAGTGAGAGTTTTACTTCCATATGTTTTCCTGTTACTGATTAGTGCCCTTTCATTTCAGCTTAAAGAAGTCCCTTTAACATTTCTTGTAAGACTGGTTTAATGGTGGTGAACTCCTTTAGCTTTTCTTGGCTGGAAAACTCTTTATCTCTCCTTCAATTCTGATTGATAACCTTGCTGGGTAGAGTATTCTTGGTGGGCAGGTTTTTGCTTTCAGCACTTTGAATATATCATGCCCCTCTCTTCTGGCCTGCCAAATTTCTGCTGGAAAACCTGCTGATAGTCTTATGGAGGTTCCCTTGTATGTAACAAATTGTTTTTTTCTTGCTGCTTTTAAGATTTCCTCTTTATCTAAGTTCACATTTTAATTATAATGTGTCTTTGTGTGGATCTTTTTGGGTTCATCTTATTTGGAACTCTCTGCACTTCCCAGATCTGGATGTCTGTCTCCTTCCCTCAATAGGGAAGTTTTCAGCTATTATTTCCTCAAATGAATTTTCTGTCCCTTTCTCTCTCTTGGACCCCTATAACGTGAATGTTGTTCTGCTTGATCTCGTCCCGTAGGTCTCTTAAGCTATCTTTGCTTTTTAAAATTCTTTTTTCTTTTTGCTGTTCTGTTTGGGTAAGTTCCACGGTACTGTCTTCCAGGTCACTGATCCTTTCTTCTACTTCATCTAGCCTACTGTTGAACCCCTGTAGTGTATTTTTCAGTTTAGTTATTGTATTCTTCAGCTCTGTGACTTCTGTTTGGTACTTTTTTTATATTTTCTGTCTTTGTTGAAGTTCTGTCTGTGTTCATCCATTCTTCTCCCGAGATCAGTGAGCATCTTTATGACCACTGCTTTGAACTCTTTATCAGGTAAATTACTTATCTTTGTTTCATTAAGGTTTTTTTCTGGGGTTTTATTTTGTTCTTTTGTTTGGAACATATTCCTCTATTTCCTTATCTTGCTTGACTCTCTGTGTTTGCTTCCCTGTATTAAGTGAAGCATCTATCTCTCCTAGTCTTGAAGGAGCAGTCACAGGAAGACTTGGGGTGTGTCTCAGTCTGCTGTCTGTGCAGTGCTCTGGGGGTGATAGCCCACTAAGAACTGTCTCTCTGATTGTTTTATTCCTGTAGATCCCAGAAACACAGGTACCCCTGGCCACTAGAGCCAGGCTTTCAAGGGGTGTCCCCTGTGTGAACTGCATGCACTTACTGGTTTTGATGGGGCCATGGGGGAAGCACTGGGCAGGAGCAAACCTGCCCATCAGGTTTAGCAGGACAGGGCCACAGGAGAGTACAAGGGCTGGGCAAGTTGCATTAGCAAGGTAGAGGGAGAGTGCAAAAATGGTGCCTGCCAGCAATGGTGCTATCAAGGTAGAAGGAGAGTGCAAAAATGGTGTCCACCAGTGCTTCCATCCTCAGAGAGATTCCAACCGACCCTTGCCCCTCCAGCAATGTGTCTAAGATTAGCCAGTGAATCTTGACATATTGTCTAGGTTGTTTCAAACTGGATCCTCGGGCGAGTGAATCTGTGTGAGCCCTGTAAGAGCCAAGTCTCAGTTTTCTATAGCCCTATGAGTCCATTGGAGGTAAACCCCTTTGGTTTTCAAAGCCAGAAATTTTGGGGTTTCATCTCACTGATGCAAGTCCGAAGGGCTGGGGTGCCTGATGTAGAGCTTGAACATTTCACTCTTCAGAGAGAATCTTCATATTTGTGAGATCCCTCTTGCTCATGGGTCACCACATAAGGGTGGAGTTTTTGGCAAGCCTGCTTTTCTGCCTCTACTGCCTGTCTTGATGTGGCTTTTTTATCTTTTGTTGTGGAGGAGCTGTTCAGCTAGTTATCAGGTCTTTTTCAGAGGGACTCGTTCTATATGTAGCTGTAGATTTGGTGTGTGGGAGAGGAGGTGAGGTTAGGATCTTTTTACGCTGCCATGTTGCCCTGCCTCCCTAAGAAGTTTTTTAAAAACGAGTACTCAGGCACCCTTGTCATTGGCTGTCAGGGCAGTGATGCGTCACATGGCATGTAGTCTCTGGAGAACTGTACTGTTTACACATGAAAGAATCGGAGTAAAAAAGGCAGATAAGGTCTGAATATTATTTTGAAAATAGTTTTTCCTCACAGACCACCTGACAGTGATTCTAGCCCTCAGAGGTCCATGAACCTTTATTTAATATTATTTATTGTATTTATTATTTTAGATCTATTATTTATTGTAAAGTCTTAAGATAATACCTGAATCAAAGTTTTTAAAAATATACTCAGCTTTTGAGAAGTATTTGAAATTCTAAGTGTTGGTTAAATTATTCTACATGATTTTTACAAGGAACCCTTAAAGTATGGAAACACAGGCAAATATATGTAATTGTATCAAGGACATTGTCCATCAATTAAAAAAGTAATTTTCTGAAATGTTTACTCTAACATTTGAACAGAGTTAAGAAAATTTTCCATAGACAAAGACACATGTTTAAGGATGCTGCTTTGGTACTTATACAATTATAGATTTTGCAAAGGAAAACAAATAGCATGATATAGTAGAAAGAAAATGTTCATAATAACTTTTTAAGGAATATAAATTTCTATTACAGCCTTTGTCTTTTCCCCATTTTTTTAACTTCCTGGAATTTACCTGTAAATGTATTTAGCAATTTAGTGAGAAATTCAGCCCCTTATATCAACTCTGCTTTTGTGTGTGTGTATGGATATAGGTATGTGTGTATCTGCATGTATTTCAAAACAGGGAAAGATGATTTACTCAACAGTCTTTTGGTAACTCGTAACAGATTTACGACCAGATGACTCTCATAATTAAAGTCTTACATTTTTGCCAAATTGATGTATTACCCTCCTTCTTTAGTCATAGACTCATTCTTGACCACAGGAAAAGTTGCTAGTTATAAGTCTCTCAACTGTATTGGTGCATACAAGCATGCGTGCCTGTGTTTATATGTAGCGCCTGAGGACTGAGGAGGTGGTGGGTGTACTGACTGGACAGCAGTTGACACCAACCAGCCTTCCTGCATATCTTCTCCTTTATCCCAAGATAGATAGGAGTTTGTTGGACATGGCAATTGGTATTTTGTATAAAATTTTCTAGTAATAGTACTAGCCATCAAACATTTATAGATTCCCGCTTCCTGCTGTGGCATTTGCATGGGACAGTGTGGGAAATTTAGAACAGAAGAATTAGAATCTGCTATGTGGGATAAGCTAGGGTACTTGAAGTCAGTGTAACTAATGTAGTATAACACAATGTGAAATACACCTGAAACCATAGTTGCTGTTAGCCAATGGGATCTTTCTGAAATTTTATATCTCACTTTACCTCTTTCTCTTGCAATGTCCTGCAGGTAGAAACAGCTGTGCAAAATGCTCGTCATCGATGGCTGGAAGAAATGCCTGAGCTTGCAGAGTATAAAGCATGTGTCAGAGCAGAACAGAAGAAGTGGGAAGAACAGCAAGAGATCTCTGTGGCCAAACGGGTAAGAGCTCTCCTGGAAAGACGCTTCAGGAGGGCCTCTCTCCTGGCCTCTTCTCTCTTCTCCGTCCTGGGAATTTGGACCTTCTCGCAGTGATGTGGAAGGATTAGATACGACAATGCACGTTAATAAGCATTAGCTCAGGGCCTGACTGGTGGTGTCTGTTCTCATCATCATCAAATTGATGGGGGAGAGAGAATATAGTTTAGGGTCTTGAAACTCTTGTAATCAGGAAGATAACACTACCTGTGAAACTAAGTCCCATTCACTCCTTAGGGGATATTGAGAAAAGGTGTTTATCTGTTTATCATTAGCTATACAGTAGCCTTTCACATGCTTAAAGATTGTTTTCTGTGCTGTGTCAGTCATCTTATAACATATTCTCCTTGGTAAATAGCCAACTCTCTTTTTCAGAAATGTCATGTTCCTTGACTCAGAACATCAGATTTTATAACCGTTTGTATTCTCCCAACTTAATTTATTAGTATAAACCAATTCTAATCAAAATACCAATAAACTCAACCTACTTTTGAAATTTGACACAATAATTCTAAAATTTATTTGGAAAACTGAAAGGACTAGAAATGTTTTAAATGTTCTGGAAAAGAAATAGTAGTCCAGCCCTAACACATAATAGAATATGTTGGAAAGCAACAATTCAGAGAGAGCTGAGTCACAAAAATAGAATTCTTTTTTATTCACTACTCTACAGACTTCAGAGATAGGCCCAATTATGAATAAAAGCTTAATAAATTGTTTCAAAACAAGGGAATGAGGAATTATTCCATAATAAATAGTCTTATGATAGTCAGATGGCACTTTGGAAAAATTTTTACTCACTCCATACATCACAGTAAACTCTAGGTTCATTAAGAAATTAAACATTTTTAAATGAAAGTATAAAATAATTAAATTGAGTATTTCAGATCTGTATCATACTAACTCCATTTTGAGACAACAGACACAGTAGCAAATATGGATAAAATATGTGCAAACATTTAAAACATTTTTGTTTTTGTAATAAAAACAAGAGTGAGGGGATAATAAAAAATAAGGAAAATGAATCAAATGGAAGAAACATTAATTCTAATGTATGATAAGGAAAACAATACAAATTTATAAGAGAAACAAGAATCTATGGATAAGCACACCAAGGATATGAACAGATAGTCTCCATGAGAAGTCCAAATAGCAAACTTAAGGTGCAATTTTCTGCCATATATATAAATCCTTTCTTCTTAATTGTAATGCACAAAATATAGTAGATTGTAGTGTCAGGAATATACTACTCTCCTGATGTCAAAACTGTTTTGGAAAATACTGTGTGTAACAGACATTATAAATGATTTATATGTTGTATTCATAATCTTATTCCACAAATTACTTAAGGAAATAACTCAACATTAATAAAAAATCCATTTTATTATTTTTCTTTTTATCTAGTAGTACATACATGTTCTCTGTACTTTTTAGCACGTTGAAATATTTCAAAAGGAAATTTAAGAGGGAGAGGAGACAGTCTGGTGGTGTGCATGTGCCTCAGAGCTCAGAAGTCAAGAAGAAGAATAAAGTTGGGTAGACTATAGAAAATAAAATAGGCAGGAGATCTTTCCTTAAGAACACAAGGCCTGAATGTATGTGAATACAGAAACGTAGAACAGAGCACAGTGTGTTGCTTCTCAAACCTTAGCAGGTGTGAGAATCACCTGGAGGGTTTGTGAAAGCAGATTCCTGGGCTTTGCTCCTAGAGATTCTGATCTGATGGGTCTAGAGTAGTCCTGAGAATTTGGATTTCTACCAGGCTCCCAGTGATGTGACACTGCTGGTCTTTGATCCACACTTGGGTAGCACTATTCTAGATAATTATTCAGCCACAATACATACTGTTGATGTGTTGCAAATCCTTCCTATAAACTGAAGGTGGTGGGCAAGGGGCCCGTTTCATAGCATTGGCTGGAGAGTTCTCGTAAGATTAGAGTGATCCATCATGGTCTGAGGAAATTTAAAGCCAGTTTCCAGAGTTCAGAAGTAGTCAGGTTGCTTCAGTGGTTCCTAAACTTTGCTGCACATTGAAAAAGTTTGAGGATCTTTAAAAAATACTGTTATTCCACTTCCACTCCCAGGTTTTATGTTTTATTTGGTGCAGAGTGTGGCCTGGGCGTCAGGATTTTTAAAAGTTCCTCAGGTGTTTCTAATGTGTAGCAATGTTAGGAACCACTGAGGCGATCAGTGCTGTCAAATTCTCCTTGTAAAACTTCATGTGAGAGGATGCACACTTTTGGTGGGGTTGGGTGGGTCATCCAAATTCCATGGGGTCTTCCACCTCCACCCAAGTCACCTGGTAATGATTTCCAGGCATCCATTGTGACATGACTGTTTTCCCTAAAAGCACTCTTTACACGTTTCACATCACTACTGGGTTATTCTGCTGGTAGCAAAATAATTATCCTGTGAATTCCTTTGTAAAGCTCATCTTAAATAGTGGGTTCCTTTAGTAAACGTAAAATACAATTCAAAATTTTTGATTTATGTGCAACTATTCAGGAACACATGTTGAATAAAGGTATATTACATGTGTTTAAGAATCTATATAGTTGAAGCTATTTGCTGTAATTATATAGTAGCTGAAAATTTAGAAAGCAGATCCCCTATCTCAGCATCCGGAGCTTATGTAGAGTATTGATATATAGCAGTCACCACTGTATATACAGTATATATATATATATATATATATATATATATATATATATATACACACTATATATCAGCCTCTGGAGATGCCCTGTTCTTCTTTTAACAATTGTATCCTTGTGACTTCTTTGAATTCAGTCAGGGAATGTTAGAAGTAAAAGGCACTCCGGGTCATTATCCATTCCCTTCATTATATGGATGAAAACACCAAGTGTAAAGGAGAGTAAGTGACTTTTCTAAGGCCATGCAGCCAAAAGTAATAATGACCACATAACATTTATTGATTCCTTATCCCCCAGGCTCTAGGTCAAGTGCTTTAAGCGGATTATCTCCTTTTGTCCTTTAATCCTAAAAAACCTCTGTCAGGTGGGCATTGTACTTATCCCCATTTTATAGATGAGGAAACTGAGGCTCAAGGAAGTTAAGGAACGGGTCTGTCTGTGTCCCACGGCTGGTGGGTTAATTCTAGCAGTTGTTAAGCACTGTGCTGGGCTGCCTCTTCAATCAAAGGCAGGATTAGTGCTAGAACTCAGGTTTTTTGATTCCCTATTCCCTTTTGGTTATCTGTTGTTATTTTCTTTGATCTACTATTCTTGTTATGCTTTTATGAACAAAATTAGATTAATAAAAAAAGACTTTCTTTTTGGTATTGTCATTTAATGAACTGTTCTAACCTCTAAAATTACATTAAAATACAGTTATGTTTGCAGCAAGTTATTATGCAGGTGTGTGTTATATTCCTGAGTAATAGTAAGATTTCCTTATGAGGCTGCTTTTGCTTTATGTAAAAGATACCTCATTTGTTGGGGGCTTAGACAAAATTTGAGACTGCATGTGTATAAGAAAAACTAATGTGAATTATTTTCTAAAATTAGTTTGGGATGGTTGTATAATCGTATATATATACTTTTGGTCAGTTTAAGTTTCTAGTTCTCCATCAAGGAACTGATGTTTTGTTTTTTAAATAGCATAAGATATAAAATATTAGGTGATTTAAAATGAAGGAAAAGATCCTTAAGTACAATGTGAGTATACTTTAGGAACAATGTCTTATCTAAATTTACTTTCTCCTCTTAATTTTGATTTTAAGTCTCTTACTAAGTTCGCAAGTTAAGCCAAATAGTTACTTCAGTTTAATTTTTTTGTTAATGAGGAGAATCATGAAGAGTTTTAAATATACATTGTTGTGTCTTTTAGATATTGTTTGCTGTTTCTGAAGCTAAGGAGAAATGGAAAAGCGAGCTTGAAAATGTGAAGAAAAATGTCATCCCTGGAAAGGAATTGGAAGAGAAGATTCATTCTCTTCAGAGAGAGCTTGAGTTAAAGAACGAGGAAGTCCCTGTGGTTGTCAGGGCTGAGCTGGCAAAGGCCCGGAGTGAATGGAACAAAGAAAAGCAAGAAGAAATCCACAGAATTCAAGAACAAAATGAGCAAGATTACCGGCAATTTTTAGATGATCATCGAAATAAAATTAATGAGGTGCTTGCGGCAGCTAAAGAAGATTTTGTGAAACAAAAGACTGAACTCCTTCTTCAGAAGGAGACAGAGCTACAAACATGTCTAGAACAGAGTCGTAGAGAATGGACCATGCAGGAAGCCAGGCGGATTCAACTGGAAATCTCTCAGTATGAGGAAGACATCCTAACTGTACTTGAATTTCTCTTAAAGGATGCCCAAAAGGAGCATGTCAGTGGTTCAGAGAACAAGCAACTTTTGGAACTCCTGTCAACTTGTTCTTCAAAATGGGTGTCTGTACAATATTTTGAAAAAGTAAAGGCCTGCATACAGAACGCGTTTCAAGATATACTCTCCCTACTTGTAGAAAGCACCAACTCAGAATGGGAAAAGGTATGTTCCTGAGAAGTGAAAAGAGCTGTTATTAAACGCCAAAGATGGTTGTAGAAGTTACAGATGGCATTTTTGCCTTTCTTCATTTTATAGTTTAATAAAGATGTAAGATTGTGTTTTTACCAGTGGTTTAAAAAACTTTTCGTACCAAATCGAAAGGATTGCATTGTTTTTTGCCAAAAAAATTTTCCTTCTTCCTAGTGCCACAAGTATGAGGCAGAGCTCTTAGCCTCTAGACGTCTTTTTCCTAAAAAATATACGCTATTCTTTGTAAGGGCCTGAGATTTCAGAAACTGAGTCACTCTCATTCCTATTTTTGTTTTTTGGGCATAATCACTTCAAGAAATATGCATTGTAATAAACTAGGGTTTCCTAAGAGCTCCTAAAGAATTTGGAAGCCTATTTCTTGCCCTCAAGGAATTTATATCTCATGTAGGCGAAAAATGCCAACTAAGTACAAAGAATGTTAATGTAGAAGCAGGCAAATGGATATATGGTTCACTCACACAAAACTCCGATGCCTAATTTTGTTGGTGTACTATACATGTGCATGTAGAAAGAATTAGTTGTATTCTTTTAGTTGTATAAGTACTCTCTGACACCAGCTTTCAGTTTGTGTGGAAGATCCATAAAACCAGAATCTTGCTACCTTATGATTAAATTAGGTATGCATGAAAACTCCAGAATGATATTCTAGGCATTGTGATTAGCCAATTTTGACATTTGGAATTAGAGGTAGGGAAAAAAATGTCAATATTATAAGGTTTGTTTGATAGAAGAGTTGAGACATAAGAGTTAAGTTTCATTAAGATGTTGTGATTAAAAATTTTCAAGGCCAGGATTTGGTTATTTGGTATTAATACCTCCTGGAAAGAACAATAAGCTAGGAAAAAAGTCTGAGTTCCAGTCCCACACTTGGGGATAACTAGCTTATTACGTTGAGTAGTCATATATTATAGTTGCTTATCTGAAAAAGAAAAAATAACCCCCTGGCCTGTCTAATTCCTCGAGTTTTGGTGGGATACGAATGACACAGCTTGGCCTCTCTGCGTCCTGCGTGTGAAACGTTACAGAATTTTAGAGGCAGAGGGACTGAGACATGGTCTACCCCATCCCAGTTCACCCCCATTGATATTTTTTATTCTTGATTTCACACAGATGTGACTACTTAATAGTTGCTTTCAATGTAAAAATAACTGGGAAAGATTGTTTCCCACGAATACTGCTTGTAATCGTTTATTGAGAATTTTTGAAAAAAATAGATAATTAAAATAAAAATTATTATTTGTAGCAGTTTTTAAGGATGAGAAGTGATAGGAAAATCATGTTATACACTTTCAAGTTTGCTTACCTGAAAAGGAATGTCAGTTTGCCAGGAAAATCAAGAAAATACATCTTTCTCCTACTATTAATATATAATCAACCCTGGGGTCTTTTTATAGGGCTTATCATTGTGCAAGCAGTGTCAGATCAGCTGTATGAGTCAATGTGGGTCACATGTCTATGAAGACAGAATTACATAATTTGCCTAAGAATTTAGATTTGTGCAACTTCTGTTGGGTGGGATCAGATACCGTTCCTGAGAAAAGGGTGGCTTTGAAATGCCTTATCCAGCATTTGTCGTAGGAGAATACTTGACCTTCTGCCATTTTAGAGCTCACTTATCTCAGGACCTCAAGGTAAAGCAATGATTATTGTAAAGCAGTGATTATAAGTTATAATATAGGTGCCATAAATGTGAAGAGCTATGAATTATTTGTAGTTTTTAGAACTGTTCGTGAAAATTCAAATAGGAAAAAATGATCCATAGATATAAAACAAGTCCTCATTAAAATAACTTAGATGATCAAAAGTTTTTTTAAATGGAGAGGATGCAATGAATTAAAGATGGAGTTTCCAAGAAAATGAATGTTTATGAAAATATGTGAATGCAGCAGTTTATAATGGATAAAAGAAAACAGAAGTATAAATTGGAGCAAAATTTTCAGACATTTAAGGATGTCTTCTGTCTTTGCTTAACCACCAAAATCAAGTTAAAAGTAAGACAAAAAGGTGGCTGTCCCACCTTTTTTGTCATCTTGACTTTTCCCCAGTTTTGAGTAGAAACTGGAAACACTGGCTACCTTAGGGTTCAACTTTTATTATTCCTTTTGACCTCAACCTCATATCCTCTTGATTGTCTGGAGTTTGCATTTTCTCTGTATCTGCTGACCTCTGCTTCTGTTGGACATTGTAGGAAAGTTTCTTGACAGTCAGTTAAATGAATTTCTCATAATCAAAATCAAGTCTTCTAGAATCAAGTGTATGTCATGTGTTTTAAGTAATTAAACAAGGCAGCTTTCTCCACATCGCCTGTTCTGGTTCCTAGGAGTTTAGTAGTCCAAAATCTGAAAATATTGCCTTAAAAGAATGTCTGACCATTAATGAATTTAGTAGCTATATTGCTGGAACAGGGGCTAGAACACAGAAAGTGTTCAATGAATGTTAGTGAAGAAATGGTCTCGTGCAAGATATTTAATTTAAGTGAGCCTCAATTTCTCTTTTTAACATTGGAATTCAACTGGCCTTCCTTACTAAGTGATGGTATATGTCAAAGTATTTAGAAACATACTATATAAATTAATTTCTTTTTTTTTATTATTGTTGTTACTTTCCATTCATGGCAGGCAAAAAGTTGGTATTATAGTTTCTAATGAATTTGACCCCTGCTGCAATGAAAATGTTCTGGATTTTCCAGAACAATTCTCATTTCACATAGTCTCTCCTGTGGTTTGACCACATAAACCATTAAAATATCTTAAATTCATGTGTGTGTGTGTATGTGTACACATGCAAACTATGTCTTCTGTTTGTCTCATAGCTGGCCCACCAGTCCTCTGCCAGATAATGCTGTAATTTGGCAAATATGGTCATAGGAGACTAGTTCATAATAATGACAGTATTCCTGTAACACCCTAAGAAAAATATTGGTGATAGTTTAGGCAAGATTTTTTTCAGGCAATGTTTTCTTTTATATTTTTAATGTTAGCATTTTAAATAGAGAATTGTGTAAAGATTTTAATTAGGTATTAACTATGAAGATAATCTATTTCAGACAAATATGGCCAAGATCTCTGAGGATCCTGCTCCAGGGGTGACTGTCAGGGGAGACCCCAGCGTCCCTGCAGTCCTTCCTGCACCCACTTCTGGATACCACGCTCAGCCCCTGGCCTTGCAGGAAACAGAAGCAGAAGCTGGTAATGGGATTTTATTCCTCTTGATCTTTGTAACATCCATAATGCAGTTCCAGACGGTTGCTTTGAGGATAAAAGGAAAGCAAAGATGTGTCCAGTTTTTATAAGGGAACAAATCTGTGATATTACTCCTACTTAATGTATGTCCTCTGCCTGGTTTCTTTTTGCATTTAGAAGACAGAGTGGCTCTAGGCCCTCTTACTTCTGTCTTCATGACTTCTCTCCATTCATAAATGATTCTTATTGTAAGGGGAATAATGAGAATTCTGTAAAGCACTCATGTTTTTATTACCTGACTTTATTGAGAAATCCAGGGTTTCACATAAGAGAATTGCCAAATAACTGAGACCTTTTCATTCCCATTACTAAAGCTTATTTCAACCGTTTTTTATGGAAATCTTTCTGAAGTGTATTAGGTTTTCTGATATATTTGTGAGTTTCTTGAGGGCAGGGACAGTGTTTTTATCTCTTCCTCTCCAACACATGGCAGAGTGAATGACACCTAGTTTGTGTTCCTTGAATATTTGATGAATGAATAGTTTAACTTAATGACTTAGAGTTGTCATTATGAAAAATAGTGATTGTCTTGTACTATGGCCCCTTGAGGTATTAAGAGCTCACTGAGAACTATCGGGCTTCTGTTGCCTCTTCGCTGGCATTTCTGAAGCGGTAATTGGCATGTCTTTTATTGCCTCCAATCCTCTTTTAGGATATTGGCCCCTTGTATCCTGCTTCTTCCCTCCACATACAAACACATACACGCTCTGTTTCTTTTCTGCTGTCTCCATTGTAACCTGGAAAAGAACTAAGATTTACCAAAGCAGATCATAACTGCTGAGTCAGTAACCTTAGTTTCCACACGTCTCTAATTCAGCAAGCAGCACTACCAGAATTCTAGAGAACTCTGCCTTTCCTAAGAAGTCAGTTGATGGTTATTTTTCTCCTTGTCCATAGACCCTTTTCCTTTATTTCTAGGTGCTAGACGGTTGAATATCTATTGCCAATGATGTACCTGGTAATACTACCTTAATTTGTATTTTGCTTCTTTCTTTTCAATGTCATTTTATGTCTATTGTTATATCTGGAATAACCTGACAATTATTTTTTTAATTTGTGAAATGGGTAGAAAGAAGTTTTAGATATAATTTGGCCTTGGGAAGTCCTATCAATATGAAAGAAATCAGTTTTGACTTAAGACAAATCAGACTATAAAAGGATTTGTTTTTCTTTCTTCAATCATTTTTCCCTAAAAGCAAACACGTTAAATTCTTTAGAAAGGATTAAATTATCCGAAAGATATATTAAGTGATAAGTCCTTTGCAATCCTGCCACCAGAGAATACCACTGTTAATTGTTTGGTTATATTCTCCCAATATCTTATAATTTTTAAAAAATAATTTAAGCATTAATTATGAAATACTTGATACATGCAAAGAATACATATAATGCACATATAAGTTATGAAGCCTAACAACCAGGAATGCACTATATGACTTAAAAATAGAACATCGCCAATATTGTTGAAGATCCTCGTGTGCTATACCACAGTTTCATCCCTGTAAATTCCCTGCAATCTGAGGTAACAAATATTCTGATATTTAAAAATTACTCTTTTGCTTTTCTTTATGTTTTGACCAAATATATATATTCTCAAAAAGCTGTTGCTTTATTTTGTTTGTCGTCTAACATTATAAAAATGGTTTAATACTCATTATAGTCTTTGTAACTTGCTTTTTTCCACTTAATATCAAACTTCCAAGATTTGTCTCTATTAATGCATATAGCTCTAATTCATTCCTTTTCATTGCTGTATAGTAACCCATTGTATGAACATACTATAATTTATCTATTCTCTTGTCAGTGAGCATTTCACTGGTTTCTAGTTTTACAACAGTATCTTAAATGAAAAATATGAATGCCATGTATGGTACCAGTGTGATGCTTCATTAATCCTTTGATGCTCATGAACATAGATGGCACTATTTAAATGAAACTCAAAAGTCAGGAGAGAGTTAAGAATAATTTTGCTGGACCAATGATTTTACATCAACATTTTGGATATTGGCCTCTGAGTCTGTGCCAGTTTATATTCCTACTTTATTATATCGATTTTGTTAATAGTAATAATCTACTTTTTGTATCATTTTTATATATTACTTAAATTTTATAAATTCTATATATTACTAATAGCAATAGCTATTACTTATTGTATATTTGTTCTATGCCAGGTACTGTGCTGAACAATTTTTATACATTTATACCTCCTGACAGTTTTAAATCTTTTTTCACTTGGAGACAATTTCAAACTTACAGAAAAGTTGCAAAAATAAAAATAATTGCAAAGAACACTCCTATACCTTTTACCTGGATACATCTATTGATAACATTTTACCTTATTTTGTGCTCTTCTGTTTGTATGTGCATGTGAACATTTCATTTTTTTCCTGAACCATTTGATGATGTTATATTCGTTGTGCTCTTTTACCCCTAAATATGTCAGTGTGTATTTTCCAAAGATAGGAATTTTTGTTGTATAACTTTCATACAGTAAATTTCACATTAGATGAAAATGTATCGATCTATTGTCTGTATTCTAATTTTCAATTGACCCAATACTGTCTTTTACAGCATTTTTTCCCCTACAGAAAGGGCATTTGTCTGGGGTCAGGTATTACGTTTAGATGTCATGTCTCTTTACTCTCCTTTCCTCTAGAATATTTCCACAGCCTCTCTTTACCTTTTACGGCACTGACATACTTGAGAGACATATTCTCTGCTCTCTCCAACACTACCTTTCCCCTGGCTTTTAATAGAACTGTCCTCATTTTGAGTTTCTTTCTTCCTGATTAGATTCAGGGTGTGTTTTCTTGGCTGGAACACCGCACAGGTGACATGTTATCACATGTGGAAGTGCACGATACCCATTTGTCTTTTATTGGGGAGTTTATTGAGCACCTGGTCAAAGTGGTGTCCAGTTTCTTCACTGTATAATTACTGGGTTTTTTTCCCTCTTGAAACTAATAAGCAGTCTGTGGGGAGACACCTTTGAGACCATGAAAATGTCCTTCTCCTCATTAAAACTTTCCCTGTATTTACCAGTCGTTGATGATACTTCTCTGATCCACTCTTTACTATGGTGGTTGCAACATCAGAATTTTTCCAACTTCAGACCTCCCTCCACTTCTACCCGTTGGCACTTGGCATGTTGTTATAATCAAGAATCTTCCCCTCTAGTTTGTCTGTGTAGTTATTTATTTATCTGTCTGTTTATGTATCTGTTTGTCCATCTGTCTAAGTACCTACCAACTTACCCACCCATCCATCTCATTATCAGTAGGATTATTGTTCTGACTCATGGGTTTCTGTTTTTTTCAATACTTTATAATTCATTATTATACTTAATTGGTGTTCAAATTGTCCCAGATTCAGCTAGTGTAGCCTCTTCAAACTGGCTCCTATGTCCTTGTGATTTGCCTGTAATTTCGAGTAATTTCTTACTTTCTGGCATAGCAAAATATTCTAGTTTCATCTTGTATATCCCCTGTCTCAATAATGGAGTCAGCCATTTCTTGACGATTCCTGGTTTTTTATAGTAGTGAATGATATTCAATACTAACATCTGAGCATTATGTTTCATAGCAATTTTTTAAATAGATGATATTATTCAATTTTATGTATTAAAAAACTTAAGTCTCAGAGAGTTTAAGTAATACACTCTGAGTCACACAGCCAATTAATAGTGGAAACAGGACTTAAACCCAAGTCTTTCTCTCTCAGGTGTCATTCTCTTTTCAGTTACACTGTAGCCTTTAGTCATGTCACTTGGTTTCTTTCCTCTCTTCCTTCCGTCCTTTCTTTCTTTTTGGTAGTTCTTGATCTGAATTGATATAAAAGTTTGCTATCATTTAATTTTTGCAGATAAGAAAAAGACCCTTGAAATTAAAGATTCATACTGTGGACACTGCTTCCAAGAACTTGAAAAGACAAAGCAGGAATGTCAAGATCTGAAAAGAAAACTGGAGAAATGCTGTAGGCATCTTCAGCATTTAGAAAGGAAGCACAAAGCTGTAGTGGAAAAAATTGGAGGTTAGCATTTGAAGTAGCACAGCTACCACTGTAAATCCCTTTGATCCTTGTGGAAAGTTTCAAATGTGGCATTTTAATTAATGTGGGCACTGATTCTCTTTGGGGATTAATGTAAACTAATTTGGACCTTGTTTTTCTTAACCAAAAATTGTTACTCAACTCAAAAGAGGCAAATTGGAGCTCTGATTAAAAGGTCACATTCTTTTCTTCCTTTTTTGATTAAACAGATATTGAGTGCTCAATATGTATCAAGCAGCGTTCTAGGCACTGGGGAGGTAGCGGTGAATATATCAGACAGAATTCCAGTTCTGATGGAGATGTACAAGACTCTGTTCCCTTTCTTCACGAAGCTTGTCATCATGTGAGGAGAACTAAAAACAGATTAATGAATAATTGTAGCATCAAGTGCTACTGGCATATGTTTGTGTAAACTTGGAAGAAAGGATGTTAAGTAGCATCAAGTGCTACTGGCATATGTTTGTGTAAACTTGGAAGAAAGGATGTTAAGGATGTTCTGGATGTCTCTTCCAGAACAGACTGGAAGGAGGCCAGACCAGACCCATATGCCGTGAACAAAGGCATATGGGTCTGGTCTGGCCTCCTTCCAGTCTGTTCTTCACAATGCTCAAGGGAGAGTTATCTGGAAGGGGTATCTTCTGCCGGTTCCTCTTCCTCCTATTAGAGTTAAGGAAGGCTGGGCTAAGCCTTCAAAGATGACAGCGTTTGCCGAAGAGACCAGCATTCTAGGCAGAGGGAGAAGACGTGAACAAAGGCATATGGGTCTGGTCTGGCCTCCTTCCAGTCTGTTCTTCACAATGCTCAAGGGAGAGTTATCTGGAAGGGGTATCTTCTGCCGGTTCCTCTTTCTCCTCTGAAAAAGGGAAGGGTGGGTGCTCCCTCTTACCTTCACTATTCACTTATATCCCGTGCTCTATAGTCCTTACATTTGAAATATTTCAAATGCCTGAACTGGTCAGGAACTTTCTTTTGCTGCTGGACCTTGCATACAATGTTGTGACTCCGTCCTACACTTCACCCTCTCATTCCCATGTTGGCCCAACTCTTCTCATCCTTTACAACGCAACTGAGAAGAGGCCTTATCTGCAGAACGTTCCTTGGTTTTCCTGTCTGAGTTAGATGGGCTGCTTCTGTGTGGCCCCATGGTACATGGCTCCTCCTCTATTACTATTCTGTATTTAGTTTTTTAGTTACTTGCTTGATATCCTTTCCAACCTATAAGTTCCCTGAGAATAAGGAATATATCTTATCTTGTTCATCGTTGTAGTCATGGTGTCCACTACACACCAGACAATAATAAATGAATGAAGGACTGAATGCAAGGGTCCCAAATAATTGCATCATGCAGAAAAGACCAGGTGAATAGGCTCACTTTTTTCCTACATTCACATCTATCACTTGCCTGGACAATAGTCACCTCCTGACTCTTTCTGCTTCTAATCTTGCCCCTCCAGTCTGTTCTCCATCAGGCTACAAGAGTGACCTTTCAAAAATGTAAATTGGATCAGGACACTGTTTCGTTTAAAGCCCTTCAGTGGCTTGTGTGGCCCTCACTATGAAATACAAACACTTAATTTAACGTAGTTTAAGAAACCTTTCATGATCCAGCATCTGCCAGCCCCTCAACATCGTCTTCCCCCAGCCTTCTTATTCTCTCATAGAGAATTATTCTCTTATTCTCTCATTCTCTTTTCTCTGGACCTCTTTTCATCTCTCCCTTTACCAGGATGTGTCTTTCCATTGACTGGACCGTTCCATCCTAGTCCAGTCCACATTGCCTGGCTGACTCCTGCTCATCTCTCCCCCAGTATGTTACTTTTCAGGGGGTTTCCTAACCACCCCAGACTGGACTAGGTTCTTCTGTTAGATATTCCCCACAGCTCTTAGGATTTTTTTTTTTTTTTAGATTGGCACCTGAGCTAACATCTGTTGCGAATCTTCTCTCTCTTTTTTTTTTTTTCCTTCTCCCCCGCAAATCTCCCCAGGACATAGTTGTATATTCTGGTTGTAAGTCCTTCTGGTTGTGCTATGTGTGATGCCGCCTCAGCATGGCTTGACGAGTGATGCCATGTCCATACCCAGGATCCGAACCTGTGAGATCCTGGGCCACCAAAGTGGAGCATGCGAACCCAACCACTTGGCCACGGGGCTGGCCCCACAGCTCTTGTGATTTTTTTTTTTTAATTTTATTTTTCTCCTTTTTCTCCCCAAAGTACCCCGGTACATAGTTGTATATTGTTCGTTGTGGGTCCTTCTAGCTGTGGCATGTGGGACACTCCCTCAGCGTGGTTTGATGAGCAGTGCCATGTCCGCGCCCAGGATTCGAACCAACGAAACACTGGGCCTCCTGCAGCGGAGTGCGCAAACTTAACCACTCGGCCATGGGGCCAGCCCCAAGCTCTTGTGATTTTTATAACATTCATCACCCTTGCAATTAAGTCTTGTTGTATTCTCTTCTGGAGCGTAGATTTGATAGTGACAAGGATCAAGTCTTGTCCCAGCACTTAGCACGGTCCCTGGCATCATAGCACCTTTGGTAAATGTTGTTGACTAAGAGAAGCCACCTACTTCCACCTACTGCTTACTAAGTCTGTTACAGATAGATAATAATTAAGGCAAGAAAGGGTTTTAAGAATTTTGAGATAAACATTTCAACAGTTATAATTCCCATGGTGATTGCTTAGCTTTTGAGTAGAGGCCGGGAGAGTAAATGAGATATTTGTCTAACCATAGATGTAGATACAATGTAGCTGTTGTAAAATTTGTTGAAAATCAATAAAATTTATTTTACGTAATAAAATGACAAGGGCAGTTGGATGTGATTATTATTTATAAATAATATTTAGCACCATACATTGTGATCATGGAATAGTTATTCTACATAGTGCTTTTTGACGCTGATGTCTTCTGTAATTCATAGACCTAGAAATAATCCAAGAAAGTTGATCCTGAGCTCAAAACAATGGGCTGATATAAGGGGTCAGGGTCAGAATTTAAGTCATTTTTGATAGCTTGATTTCAATGTTTGTCTTAATGTAAATCTATTAGTTGATAATACTTTTGCTATTGGGGTGGCTTCTTTTTTGTTTCTTAAATTCCATTTTCTACTGTCTTGGTAGTGTTTATTGAAAAGTGATGGAGTAAGAGTGAGTGGTTTAAGATATACAAGTTAGATCAATTACTAGGGGGAATAGAAGCATTCATTCCCTAACTTAATAGGGTGGGTTGAGAGGGTGGCATAGCAGGGAACATGGGGTGCCGTGTTCATATTTATTAAACATTGGTGTTGCCAAGTCTTGTATAAGGTGGTGTGCTTGTATTTTATTTCTATTATAATCTTCAAGGTAGGTAATATTCTCCCCATTTTACGTATGAAAAACTCAGGTTCAGGAAGGTTAAGTAATTTACCTAAGCTCATCCAGCTGGTAAGAAGCAGAGCTAGGAGTTAAACCTACGTCTCTCTGACTCTGAAATCCATGCTTTGTCCTCTGTACCACATGGACTCCATCAGTCTCCTCGTCCTCTTTTTAAAGGTTCAAAGAATTGAAAATCTTATGTTAATTCTGAAAATGGCACCTACTTAAACTTAATTTTCTTTTTATCTTGTATTGAGGTGCTTGTTCAAAGATCATTTGCATGAGCATAGACTGTACACCAGGATCCACGAGGAACATGAAATTAGAAAACCTAGTGTGTTTCTACAGAACTTCAGTCTAATTGGAAAGCAAAACACATGCATGTGAAACAGCTGGAAACCTACTTCAGGACAGTGTGTCACCCAAAACAAGATGATGGTCGAATACAGATTTTAAGTGCTGAGCAAACAGAATGGCGAGTGGTCAGATTAGAGTCCATCAGGGAATGAAGGACACGGGGAACAACTGGAAATTGGGCGGACTTCTCTCTAAACATTCGCACTGGGAACTTAAGGGAAAGGAAGAGCGAGAAAAAAGAGACTAATGGACCACTACACCATTATCTTTCTTTTTCAGAAGAGAATAGTAAAGTTGTTGAAGAATTAATAGAAGAAAATAATGACATGAAGAATAAATTGGAGGAACTGAGAACACTTTGTAAAATACCACCAAGGTAGACTTTTACTATTTAAAAAAATAGTTTATTTCTTGCATCTTTAAATGTTTTATATTAATTATATCAATATAGCATACCAAGAATATCAATTATTGTTATTATTATACAGCTGAAAGTATAAAAAAGGAGAAAATCTTATCCCCAGAAGATACCCTCTGTTAACATCCTGTGTTATATCATTTAAGCCCCTTTATACACGTGCAACATGTGCACATTTTAAAAATTGAGATTATTGTATAAGATATTTTGTAACCTTTTACTAACTTAATGATATAAGAAAAACATGTCCCCTTGTGGTTAGATATTCTCCTATAATATGCTTTTCAATAGCTGCATAGATTTTCATCATGTGGATTTATTAATTTAAGTAACTATAACATTTAAATTGTTTCCATTTTTCTCCTATTTTAAATAACTATATAGTAATCCTCCTATATGAATTTTTTAGCACATCTCTGTTCATTTTATTGGAATATATAGATATATATTTTTTTCAAATGAAGTTTTCCACTTAAAATCTCTGTTTTTGCAATCTTTGGGTTTTTTAGGTCACTGTCAGAAGGGGCCGTTGAAAATGCTTCCCTGCCATGCAGTAGGGTGGCCTTGGAAGAGCTTCGTGGGCAGTACATTAAAGCTGTAAAAAAAATTAAGCGTAAGTCCTGAAAGAGATTCCCAAGATTTTAAGGTGGTTTGGGCATTTTTTGCTACTAGCAGTCATAATTTGGGGGAATTTTCCAAACTACCTTGTTCTGGGATCTTACGTGCTTTTAGAAGAGATCATTGATACCTTTTCTAAATTATGCAGTAATGGATCCATTTCACCCAAGTAATATCTTTTGGAAGTGACGTGAGGGTAGAGTTATTTTTTTGTTAATTATCCTGTTTCTTTTTTGGACACTAATATTAAACTAACAATTTTATAATCTTACAACTTAACTAATGCCAAAGAAAATGTCATATCAATTATTGCTTCCTACCATAAACTTTTAAGGACCGTGGAAAATGGATCTAGTTAGGCGTTGTTCTGTTATTTCTTGTTATTTGGTTAATGGATTAATCATTGACGTAAATTTATCAAGTCCTTTGCAGCACTAGGAGACGCAGCACACCCTGCAGGGCATTTCTCTGGTTTATGCTTTCCCAATAGATTACCTCCTGGTTTTTAATCACAATGTTGCATAGATTGTATTTTTCTCCCAGAACAATAACCAGTGTTTATACAGGAGAAATGTATGTTTGTCTCCTAAAATTGCATTCATTTTTACTAAAATGAGCAGAATGGTCTCAAGTTCCAAATATAAGTGATGGATCATCAGAATCATGTGTGGATGTTGAAAAGCCCACTCAGTATCAGTGAAGAGAGTTTGCTCTTCAGTTGTTGCTGGTGCTAACAGAGGCCATATTACTGCAAACAAAGCAACTGTTTGTTAGCAATCATCTTAACTGGGAAGTGAAATTTTAAGCATGTTTTTAAATCCTAATATGACAACGTGTGTGTGTGTATTGTTTTCTGTTTTAGAAGTTGGTTGGAGCTTTTGTGTTGATATGTATTCCATTTTAATTTTTCCCACTTCAAATAATAAAAATAGTCTTCCAGTTAGTATTTTGGCGTAGAACATCTGGTTTTCAGGAAGAGCTTACTGATATCGAGGGAGATTCCTCTGTGAGTTGGATCCTTAATACGTAACAGGGATGGTGATATTTTAGAGGGAGGCTGTAGCCCTGGAATTAGTAAAAAATTGTTAACCTGAAATAACGGTAGTCCCAAAGCACGTTGAGTTAAAGACAAAAAGCAATCTTGAAATAGACTATTTTTCAATGTAAATTTCAGAAGGCACCGTGAGTCTCCTCCCTCTCCTGCAGTAGCATTTTGTGTATATCTCTAATGAATGCTAATGTTATATTTAGTTGGATACTCCTAAGTACTGCTGAAAATCGAATAAGTAATGAAACATTGATTTTCAGAGCACAAGTCAACAGAACAATAGGAGTCTCTTCAGCTCATGTCGCCTCCTTCTGTCTTTTTGTGTCTGCTTCCCTCTTCCTCTCTGCCTCACCCTTTCTGTATATTTTTTTTTTCTCTTCTCTTAACCGGATGTAATATATGATGGAAATGTATAAGCTTCTGTGCCTCTTATTTGTGGTGTTTTCTTGCCTCCGTATTTCAGAATACGACAGAATTTCCCTAGGGAATATGCTATGTTTCTCTACCATATGTGGCTGTCATCATTCTAAAAGCACTTTTAGATTATTTCTCCTTTGAGTCTACCAAAATGTTGGTCTGAAATACTCCATGTTATTGATTGTGGAAAAGTATAACATTTAAACTTTACCTCCAGTCACTTCATTTCCCAGAAAATTGGTCTGAAGTCTGCCTCTCCTGTTTTTGAAAAATGCTAATAAACATGCATTTTGTGGGGATCCCCCTGCCCCAGGTGACATGCTTCGTTATATTCAGGAGAGTAAGGAAAGAGCTGCGGAAATGGTAAAAGCAGAGGTACTGCGGGAACGTCAAGAAACTGCCCGAAAGATGCGCAAATATTATTTGACTTGCCTCCAACAGATTTTGCAAGATAATGGAAAACAGGAAGGGTAAGTTCAGTCTAAACAAACAGTGTGACCTGAGAGCACAGGACAGCATGTTGTCATTTTCTAAGCATTTTCCTTAACCGCAAAATTAACCGTTTCTGCATGATCAGCCATTGGGTGTTAAGAGAGGCTTGTGTCTCTGCTACCCTAAATGTTGGCAGAGCTAATAGGAAAACAGGAATCCTGGGGCTAAGGAAACTCAGTTTTTCCTTTAAACTGTATTAATTTAACATTCTGGAATTCCCCACAGGGCTGAGAAAAAGATTATGAATGCTGCTAGCAAACTTGCTACAATGGCAAAATTGCTGGAAACGCCTATTTCTAATAGATCCCAGAGCAAAACTACACAGTCAGGTATGTCAAAATGAATCACTCGAAGAGTTTCTCTCTCCCTTCTTTTTTAGCTGTTTAATATTTTTAGTATGAAAAAAAGCAGGAATGTAAGGATTAAGAGTTAATTTATAAAGTTGTATGTTTTACTTAAATTGGAAACTTATACAAAAGAGTCTAGTTTCCAGTTCAAGTAGGCAGACTGAGCATACCCATCAGCTTTCTATTGCTGCTTCCATCCCCAGAAATGATAGAAAAGATTTTAAACAACAAATAAAGAAGGCGGAAAAGAAGAAATTATAACTGAATTTTAAAACATTTCAAATGATAAACTAGAAGCTGTGAGAAATCCCAGAAAGAAAGAAGATAGTATAAGATTGAAGGTGGAAACCTCAGTTCAGAACTGCCAGAAGAAGACAGCTACAAGTAGGGGCAATACTGAAACTGTTCCACAGATGCAGGTGGCATGTTCCAGAAGTCATAAGCCTAGGGGATAACAATGGGGTAATTAGTTGGTGTTCTAGAGCAACAGTAACCAGGCAGAGTCACCCTCTTTATTTCTTTTTCTACTCTCCCTTCCCCAACCCTAATATTGGGCAGAGTAAGAGCAGCAAGAACAGAGAATCTGGGAAAAGGACAGTGCTCTAGATGACTAACCACAGCAAGGAGAAACTGAGAGCCTACATGCCTAGGGTGCCAGCTATTACCCTGCAGCTTGTTCCTTCATACTCTGCTCCCAACTTCTTTAAACAAGCAGTGCAAAAAGATACCGCACTCAGGACATCTAAAAGATAAGCATTCAACCAAGAATCACCATATATTTATAGAAAGCCAGCTCCAGGAAGACAGACACCAAACTCAAAACAAGGCAAAATAAAAACCAACAGATCTTAAACCTAAGGAAATACAATTACTAGAACAAGCAATAGGACCTGAGAATGTTAGAAAAGTATAGTATTCTCAGAAAGACCTAAGAGAATATTGTAGAGGAAACTAACAATACGCTAAGATTTTTACTATTTTCAAGGAGAGGGATTGGGTACTGATCACTTCACCATTACTAGAAAAATACAGGTTTAAATACGTATCTTAAAATTTGAGGATAATTGGTAGAGAAATAGAAATAGAATACATAACTTTCAAACTAGTAGGGGAAAAACTTGGAAGAAAATGTTTTTAACCTAACAGAATCAAGAAATAGAAAAAATACAACTAGAAAGAATGGATAAATAGAAAATAATAGTAGGTTGAACCATCAACAATTACACTAAATATGAATAGGTTAAACTCATTAAAAAACCACAACTTCTGGGGCCAGCCTGGTGGCGCAGCCTGGTGGGGCTGCTTTGGCAGCCCGGGACTCACTGGTTTGGATCCCAGGTGTGGACATGGCACCGCTTGGCAAGCTATGCTGTGGCAGTTGTCCCATATATAAAGTAGAGGAAGATGGGCATGGATGTTAGCTCAGGGCCAGTCTTCCTCAGCAAAAAGAGGAGGATTGGCGGCAGATGTTAGCTCAGGGCTAATCTTCCTCAAAACAAAACAAAACAAACCCACAATTTTCAAACAGTTTTTAAAAATCCAGACATACATTATTTTTACAAGAACATCATCTAAAATTCAAAATAAAGGGATGGAGAGTGATATACCAAGCAATGCAGTGTTGATATTAGATAAATCATAGAGTTAAATACATTATTAGGTAAATTAGAGTTAGCATTAAAAGGGACCAATGTGATAGTTCATAATGATAAAGGAGCAGCTTCCCAAGAAGCTACGAATGGGTTCTTTATATACGTAGTAAAATAGCTTTAGAGTGTGTGTGTGTGTGTGTGTGTGTGTGTGTGTAGGTGTGTGTGTGTGTGTAGGTGTGTGTGTAGGTGTTGGGATTCTTCCAGCAAACTTGGTTCATCAGGGGCCGGCTCAGTGGCCGAGTGGTTAAATTCGCGCGCTCCGCTGCCACGGCCCAGGGTTCGGATCCTGGGCGCGGACATGGCACCGCTCATCAGGCCACGTTGAGGTGGCGTCCCACATCCCACAACTAGAAGGACCTGCAACTAAGATATACAACTATGTACTGGGGGTGGGGGGGGGGGCGGCTTTGGGAAATAAAGCAGGAAAAAAAAAAAGATTGGCAACAGTTGTTAGCCCAGGTGTCAATCCTTAAAAAAAAAAAAAAAGGAAGATTGGCAAGAGTTGTTAGCCCAGGTGCCAATCTTTAAAAAAAAAAAAAACTTGGTTCATCAGAAACTCCATGCTTGGCATCAGAGTAGGATTGAAAACATTGCAGTTGGCTCTTGAAATACTGTAGCATCATTAAAGAAAATAATAGATCAGGTAGATAGCGATAATATATCAGATTTCAATAACAAAATTACCTAGCTTTATCTAATCATTATATGTAAAAGAGTATTTTAAAATGTCCAGCATTGTTGTATTTTCTTTGAGAATGATTAAAATATATGTATTCTTTGGAAATACATGAAAAAAAATTTTTTTTCTCTTCTTTCAATGTTAATTTTCTCCTAATTTTATTTTCCCCTGATTTTCTGTTTTGTTGTGTACAGGAGAACTGGCTCTGACTTCAGAGATGGTGATTGGAGTTGAAAAATCAAACAGAAATGATGTGAATCAGAATATACCATGTCAAATTGAAAGCAAATCAAAGAGTGTAAAAGCCAGCCCCAGGCATATGTGCGACCAAGTTCCTAGGAGGAGGGCTGCTTGTAACTTAGAAAGGCGGTTGGAGGACGCAGAGCACCGGGACGTACAACATGTTGGTTCCAAAGGGTCACATTCAGACTTTCAGTCCGGGGACAACAGTTACAAACACCTAGACATTTTGCCAAGGAATGTTCCTCCTGAGTTTGTTCCTTGTGAAGGTGAAAGAGGCTTCGGTTTGTGCAAGAAGACGGACCTCCTCAGTGATGCTGGCTCCGGATCACTTCTGCCTTCAGCCGCATACCCCTTTCTTGGATCCTTAGGAAATAAACGCTCACCTAGATATACCCCTAGTCATTCTGAGTCTGGATCCACACATACAGCCTTTCGAGGTCCTGATGAAAGACTTGGTTTAAAAGTATATAAGTGTAACCCATTAATGGAACGTGAAAATGCTACATCTGAGAAAAGTCAAAGTTTGGGTGTTCAGGAAGCTCCAGTAAAGGATGGAGGGGACCTTAGTGACTCCATAGGCTGGCATTCCAACAGTGCCACTTTACCCTGCGACAGCCGTGAAGGGTCATTTTCACAGGGTAGGCCACAAGAAACTCTGGATACACTGGCTGAATCTGTTAATTTCAGACAGTTTCCGGCAGCCAGTTGTCTTTCAGATCCAGGGAAAAATAACACGATTAGTCGACCAATGAAACATCAGAGTGGTCACGCTCCAGACTCGTCAGAGGCAACCACCTCTTCCCAGCCAGGGAAAATCAGCGTGACTCTTGGCCATCCACCGCCCCGTCAGGCTGATACATTAAAGTCAGACTTCAAAAAACTGAGAAGTACAGGATCGTCTTCAGTGTGTCGGCAGCCTGCGAAAAGATTAATCCCTCTTCTGTCTAGCCAACAAGATAGTGGCTTTGATAGCCCGTTTGTCAATCTAGACTAATTGTACAGTATTTAAGAAGAATCATTAATATATTCTCAAGAACACTGGAAGAGAAGACTTCATACTGAAAAATTTGTGGGCTTTGCCTATTTTGAGATGTTTTAATAACATCTGACTATCATGAGTAAAGTATTCTCATAAAATAACTTGAGATATTAATGTCGCCTTAATCTTCCAAAGGCCTGATGGTGTGTGTGTAATCTGCTTGTGTGTAGTGCTTATATTTGTTTGCTAAATCATCTATTTTTATACTTATGATTATATTAGTTCTCCATGCAGTGTTAAATTATTTAAATAAACTTGCGTATGGTCTGTAGAATTGTTATACATTATTTTTTCCTTCATAATATAGAAATGTTATATTGACATGTTTGAAGTTCATCCAGAAAAAAAGAGAAACTTTGATGATTGGTGTGTATGATCAGCCAAATTTAATTTTTGAAATTAGCCATGTTTAATGAAGCTATAGATTTACTTTAGACATACTTTTCCTGGAAATATCTACTCAAAATTTTGATTCTTTCATTTGGGAAAAGAGGTTTTGCCAAGATTGCCACGAAATACATAGCTGTATCCTGGTTTCATTATTTAAAAGTTTTTTTTAGTTGACATTTGTGTTATTTCAGATCTCCTGTGACATCCAGAGACTTTCTTTGTCTCTTTTATGGTTTCACAGTGTTTCTTTCATCTGAAACATTGCCTTTTAAAAATGGAAATAATAAACTTTATCATGTAGCAAAAAATTTTAAACTATTAGATTTTTATATTCATTTATAGTGCAGAATTGGCTAACTTATTAATGCTGTGGGTTGAAGGTTGTAATTCTAAACCATGCAGAAATGTTTCTAGATTAATTTTTTTTCAGATTCTTAGAGATGAATATGAAAGTTTTAGGTGTATGCAAGTGCTTCCTGAAAATAGTCACTATAGCTTTCTCTCATCTCTCTCACCCCTACCCATATCATGGACTGTATTTGTGGGTTTATCCAGTATATTTTTCCACTGGGGGTGGTTGGATGAGTGGCAAGATGCATCATCCTCCTGCTGATAACCATCTCTGAAAGCAAGAACCTGAAATGAACCTTCTAGGGATTGGAAAGCTCTGTCCCCTTAACTGGTGACCAGATATAGATAAACCTAAAAATTAGCATTGGATTTCAGTGCTCAAGTTGACATGCAGCTGGAGATAGGAACACATCATCTCTTGAGAGTCTCACTTGTATTCCTGAAGATACAGTGTTGTTTCTCCAACAGTTAGCATGACATTTCTCACTCTAGGAAAATCCCTGCACCAGCTGGATTTATGTTCCATGTGGCTCTAGTTGGTGCTTGATCATTTGAAGCCCTGGGTGTAACTGAACTGAGAAGCTAGCTTATTGCTCACCCTCTTTTTCATCTTTGTTTTAATTCTTGTCAGATGTTTAAACTCTTTGCATCAAGGTTGAAATTGGAAATCTTCTTGCTTTCTGCTCCTTTTTTTATGGCATCCTTATTCTCTTTCAATATCCATAATTTCAATAGGATTAGGATACTTTATCTCATACACTCTACTCACACCCGCCAAGGAAGGTCTACATTGGTTAGTGGGTAAATGAAGGGTCTGCGTGGCCAAGCTACCTCTGGCAATTTGCATGGGTCTGAAGGGTGATATTAGAACAGAGAGGAGGCAGGAGCCCCATAGACGTCACACTCTCATAAATCCCACTTCCTCATGGTGTCTAATCTTTTATATGTTGCTGGGTTTCACTTGCTGATACTGTGATAAGGATTTTCATGTGCATGCTCACAAGGCATATTGGTCTCTAGTTTTCTTGTGATATCTTTGTCTTGCTTTGGTGAAAGGGTAATACTGATCTCACAGAATGAGTTGGAAAGTTCCCCTGCCTCTGTTTTCTGAAAGAATTTGTGTAGGGTTGCTATTATTTCTTCTTTAAGTGTTGGATAGAATTCACTAGGTGAAGCCATCTATCCTGGGCTTGTGTGTATGCGTGTGGTGGGAGGGGAGGGGCAGATTTTTAAGTAATAATTCAATTTATTTTCTTGTTATAGAGCTATTTTTGTTTTCTATATCTTCCTTAGTCAGTCTTGGTAGTTTTTAAGTAATTTGTTCATTTTGTCTAAGTTGTCTGATTTGTTGATGTAAAGTTGGTCATGGTATTCTCCTATGATCCTCTTATCCTGTGTCATCTCTCTTTTTCTCTTAGCCTAGCTAAATGTTTATCAGTTTTGTTCCCAGAAAACTTTTGGTTTCTTTAGTTTTCTCTGCTGTTTTCTGTTTCCTATTTCATTGAGTTTTTCTGCCTCTGATCTTTGTTTCCTTCTGCTTGCTTTAGGTTTAATTCTCACTCTTCTTTATCTATTTGTAAAGTAGAAGTTTAGATTATTGATGTTGAAATCTTTCTTTTCTAATATAGGTATTTAAATCTCTAAATTTCCCTTTAAGCACTAGTTAAGCCATATCTCATAAATTTTGATATGTTTTGTTTCTGTTTTCGTTTAGCTCAAAATATTTCTAATTTCCTTCGTGATTTCTTTTTTGACCCATGGGTTATTTAGAAATATGTCACTTCATTTCCAAGTATTGGGAACTTCCCAAATTTCTTTGTCATTTATTTTGAATGTATTTGTTGTTGGAGAATATACTTTGAGTGATTTCGGTTCTTTTAAGTTTCTTGAGACTCGTTTTATGGCCTAGCGTACGGTCTATCCTGGAGAATGTTTCACATGCGTCTGGAAAGAATGCATATTCTGCTCTCTTTTGATGGGGTGTTAGAAAATATCAGTTAGGTCAAGTTGGTTGATAGTGTTGATCAAGTCTGCTATAGCCTTTCTGATTTTCTGCCTATTTGTTCTGTTAGCTATTAAGAATGGGTCATTGTAGTTTCTAACTATAATTGTTAAATTGTCTATTTCTCCTTTCAATTCTATCAGTTTTTGCTTCCTGTATTTTGGGGCTCTGTTTTTAGGTGTATATACCTTTATATTTATTATATCTTTCTGATGTATTGACTTTTATCATTACAAAATATCTCTCTGTGTCTCTGGTAATATTTCTTAAAGTCCATTTTGTCTGATATTAGTACAGCCACTCCAGCTCTCTTATGATTACTGTTAACATGGCAAATCTTTTTCTGTCCTTTTTCTTTTAACCTATTTGTGTCTTTTGATTTGAAGTGGATCTCTGGGAGACAGCACATTGTTGGATCTTGCTGTCTTTTTAATACAGTCAGACAATCTTTGTTTTTGGATTGGAGTTTTTGCTCCTTAAAATTTAATGAAATTATGGTTGGATTTTCTTTCTCTATATCTTATGGGGTTTTTTTGTTGTTGTTATTGGGTTGCTCCTTTAAAACTGCCTTCTTTGTGATAAGCAAATATTTATTAGGGTACCATCTTAATTACTCTTGAGTTTTATTATTTTTTGAGTTCTTTTATAAGTGGTTGCTCTAGGTATTACAGTAGGCACAGTAACTTATTACAGTCTGCTTCAGGTTAATATTGACTAACTTCTGGTAGAACATAGCATCTTTGTTCTATTATACCTTTATTTCCTCCCCCTTCCTTTGTACTGTTAATTGTTATATATATTACATCTATATATTATTATACAACAACAATACGGTTATAATTATTGCTTTAAAGAATTTAAGAGAAGAAAGGATTTTAATATATATGTATAGTGCGTATATATATATATATATGTATTTTTATTTACCCACATATTTACCGTTTTTGCTGCTCTTCATTTTTTCCTATAGCTAAGTTACTGAATCTATTGTCATTCCTCTTCATCTGAAGGACTTCTTTAGTATTTCATGTAAGGCAAGTATGCCAGCAACAAATTCTCTCCACCTTTATTTTGGAATATATTTCAAATTCATTTTTGAAGGATAGAATTTGATGGATTTAGAATTCTTGGTTGGCATCTTTTTTTCCAGCACTTTGAATATGTCATTCCACTGCCTTATGGCCACCATTGTTTTTGATGAAAAGTTAGCTGTTAATTGTATTGTTCTCATATTTGTGATGAGTTGTTTTCAGGTTTTTCTCTTTGGCTTTGAACAGTTTGAGCATGGTGTGTCTGGGTGTGCGTTTGTTTGTGTTTATCCTACTTAGGTTTGTTGAACTTCTAAGATTTGTAGATTAATATTTTTAGCAAATTTCGAAGGGTTTTTTCACCATTATTCCTTCTGTTATTTTTTCTTTTTTTTACCCCTTTCCCATTCTCCTGTCCTTCTGGGGGCTCTCATGTATGTTGAAATTCTTGCTGTTGTGCCACAGGTCTTTGAGACTCTGTACATTTCTCTTTAATCTTTATTATCTTGTTTTTCAAATTGGATAATTTTTATTCATCTATCTGCAAGTTTGCTGACTCTTCTGCCATCTCAATTCTGCTGTAGAGCCTATCTAGGAATTTCATTTTCATTATTATACTTTTTCACTCTATAGTTTTCATTTGGTTCTTTTTTATAGTTTCCTTCTTTTTAGATTCCCTGAAGAGTCATTGTTATATTTCCCTTTAATTCTTTATTCATTGTTTCCTTTAATTTTTTAAACAAATTTATAATGACTGCTTTGTAGTCTTTTTTTTTAAATTGTACTGTGAACAGTTAACATGAGATTTACTCTCTTACATTTTTAAGGACACAACACAGTATTGTTAACTGTAGGCCCAGTGTTGTACACTGGATCTCTAGAACCTATTCATCTTGCATAACTAAAACTTTATACCCCTTGAACTAAAACTTTATACCCCTTGAAATGGTTAATCTCCATTTGCTCCTCCCCCCAGCCCCTGGCAACCATCATTTTATGTTTCCATGAGTTTGACTTTTAGATATCTCATATAAGTAGAATCATGCAGTATTTATCCTTCTGTGAATTTTGGTCTTTGTTTATTAAATTCAACATCCAAGTACACACATAGTTTCTCTGACAATGTTTCTTCTTGAATATGAGTCACACTTTTCTATTTCTTGATATGCTTCATAAATTTCTTGAAAACTGGAGATTTTATGTAACATTGTAGCAACTCTGGATTGGATATTTGTTCCCCTCAGGGTTGTGCTGCTGGTTTTTGTTGTTGTTGTTGTTTTGATTTGCTTTTTAATTCATCTGAACTTAATCTACAAAATCTCTCCCCTGTGATATGTGTTTGCTGATTTCTCTACTCAGTTATTTTAATTTGTATTCTTAGTTTTTAAGCCTGGCATTTCAGGGGATGCCCCTGCATCTATATAGTTTAATGGTCAACCATGATTGGTGAGAGGTTGTGCTCAAAAACCTTGAGTCAGTAGGTTTTCCACCCTCTCTTGA